ACTAGTAGTAGTAGTAGTAGTAGTAGTAGTAGTAGTAGTAGTAGTAGTAGTAGTAGTAGTAGTAGTAGTAGTAGTAGTAGTAGTAGTAGTAGTAGTACCAGTAGTAGTAGTAGTCGTAGTAGTAGTAGTAGTAGGAGTAGTAGTAGTAGTAGTAGTAGTAGTAGTAGTAGTAGTAGTAGTAGTGGTAGTAGTTGTTGTAGTAGTAGTAGTAGTAGTAGTAGTAGTTGTAGTTGTAGTTGTAGTTGTAGTTGTAGTTGTTGTTGTAGTGGTGGTAGTAGTAGTAGCAGTAGTAGTAGCCTTCGTAGGTGTAGTCGTAGCAGTAGTAGTTGTCGTAGTCGTAGTCGTAGTAGTAGTAGTAGTAGTAGTAGTAGTAGTAGTAGTAGTAGTAGTAGTAGTAGTAGCAGTAGTAGTAGTAGTCGTCGTGGTCGTAGTCGTAGTAGTAGTAGTCGTCGTCGTCGTCGTCGTCGTCGTCGATGTCATAGTTGTAATTGTAGGAAGGCTCAGGAAAGCTCTTACGTTAGTTGGCTGCAGGCATGCGTAGGGGCGCATGACGATGTGTGCTGTGCATAGGATTGTGTTGTGTTGTGTTTCTTCCCGCCCCCCCTGACCTGGTGCGCTATGCTGGCCTGCACCTCTGTTGCGAAAGATTGCGAGCGCGCCTCACGACCGGGGGCGCCATATGGTGGTGGGGGTGGGGACGGTGGTGGTGGTGTTGTTGTTGTGGATATTGTGGTTGTTGTTGTTGTTGTTGCTGTAGTTGTTGTGTGTTGTCGACGTCGTCGTCACCCGTAACACATCCGCGACCCACCCGCGACCATCCCCGCCACACCCCCGTGACCCACCCATGTTGCTCAAACGAGAAAATCGGCGCCTGCGGCGAGCTTGTTGTGCAAGGTCGACAAGAAATCGGCGCCTGTGGCGAGCTCCTTCTGAGCCTCGAATACTGCTGACGACCCCGCCGCCCCCTCACTCTCATCTGCACATGCTGGGTGTTACGTGTTTACAGAAGTTGGCGAAGGACCCAGCAATATGCAGATGTGGCAGCCGCAACGCAAGTGACAAAACAATGGAAGAAGGAGCCACGAAACGTGCGCGGGGTGTGCCAACATGAGCGAGGCAGCATGAGGGCCCTACCACTAGGGCCACGAAGCGTGCGAGGTGTGTGCCGAAATGTGTCGGGCAACGCCGTGCGAACTTTGAAACTGGGGCCTTCGGTGGAGCTCTGCGGGGCCACGGCGCACGCGAGGGTGTGCCGAGATCGGCACTGGGAGGGGGCAGCGGGAGGAGGAGGGACGCGGGGCGCCGCAGGTTCAAAACGAGGACCCAACACCACAGCATTCCTGGAACAAAGCACGTCGGGGACATCATCGCCCCCCCACCGCGAGGCCCCAGCGCCGACGACATGGCAAAGCTGCGCGAGCTGGCCGGGGCCCGGCCAGACGCCGCGGACCCCGCCGCGGTGTTCTCAGCAGCGGGGCTGTGAGCGCGTCCTCCAGCCTCCTCGTCCTCGGGGTGGGTTGGAGGTCCTCCTCCCCTTCCTCCTTCTCCTCCTCCTGCTCATTCCCTTTCTCCTTCCTCCTCGTCCTCGGGGTGGGTGGGAGGTCCTCCTCCCCTTCCTCCTCCTCGTGATCTTCCTCCTTCCTCATCCCCGTGGAGGGCCATTCCTTGGAGAGTGCGTAGAGGTGCCCGCGTCCGCCGCCGCTGGGGGCGCCTGTAACGGGGCGACCGGCAAGGCTGCACCCTGATGGCCTTACAGGTGCGACTCCACGTGGAGCGAGCGAGCAGGTCGCAGTGGCAGTGAGGCCCCCTGAGATCACGGCGTCGTGAACGTACAAGAAAACCACGACTGCCATTTTCGCCCCATGTCGGGCCCGGGGGCCCTGACGGATCGATGGGGCCTGAGCATTGGCGATTGAGGATGGGGTCGAGAGCTCCTGGCCGTTGTTTGCCCGCGGCGCTACAGTTCCACGACGCCAGATCTCGGGGTGAGGCCTGCGTTGGCCAGGGTTCTCTTCGTCCAGGGCTGATCGTGACAGCAGTACGTTGTTTGAGCCGCGCCATCGCTCCCGCCCGCCATCACCGCCTCAGTCAGACTATCGGCCCTGTCGCATCCGATGCGATCACTGCCGTCATCAATGCCGCCACGGATGCCCATGCAATTCGCAACTCTTTCTGAGGGCAAGAGCCTCGTGTGCCACTCAGCAGGTGCCCCGTTCCGACTTCTCTGGCAACAGGTCAGCCAGCACCTCGGTACATGTTGTGGTGGTTCGGAGATGTAACCCTGGTTCTCCTCCTGCTCTTGCTCCTGATGGTCCTTCTCTTCCTGTTCCTCCTTCTTCTCGTCCTCGTCCCTTCTCCCCCCTCCTGCTCATCGTCCCCCTCCTCGTCCCCCCCTCTTCACCCCTCCTCCTGAGACACCCGATCCCCAAAGGCCACCTCGAATCCCCTCTGCTTCGTCCCCCTTCCCCCCTCCCTCCCTCCACCCCTCACCCCTCCCTTCTGAAGCGCGTCCCCGGAGCGCCTGACTCCTTCCGCTATGAAGGAAAGGGGTTCTGAGGGAAGCGGGTCCTAGACCCCGGGGCGATCCCCACGACCACTTCTTCATCCGGAATTACTTTTTGACGGTCCTGGGGCCCGGGAGCGGCACCCAGTATTCGAAAACGAGGACACTGATTCAGGACCTCGTTCTTTCATTTCTCCTTCTCAACCTCCTCCGCCATTTCCTCTCTTTGAGAGTAACTCATCCCTGCCGTGCGCCCAGACGTGTCGGTAGGACGGGCTGGTCGGTTCGCTTGGGCCTTCCTCACCGCGTATTGGATTGAAGCTTCGCACTTGCAACAATTAAACAGATGCGAGGCGCGTCGCGTCTAACATGTTGCTCTCGCCTTAGCGCCGCGCACAGTTGTTTTCAACGTTGGCAACCGCTTCACGGATGGAGGGCGTGCCGTTGTCAAAATGTGGCTCCCGCTTCAGCAACACGAACAATTGTTCAAAACACTTGCAGCAGCGTCACGGATGGAGGGCGGGCCGTTCTCAGCATGCGCTTCTCGTTTGAGCGCCGCGCGCATCTGTTGAAAAAGATTGCAGCACCTTCACGGATGGAGGCGGGTCGGTCTCGCCTCGGCGCCGCGCTCACTTGTGTTTAGAGTGTGCAGCGGCTGCGCAGGCGGAGGGCGGGTCGTTTTCAAAGTCCCGATCTTGCCTTAGGGCCGCGCTCATGTGTTCCAACAGTTCGCAACATATTGACGGTTGGAGGGCAGTTCCTACAATGCGGTTCTCGTTCAAGCGCCGCGCACCTTTGTTTTACAAGTTTGCAGCCGTTGCAAGGGCTCGTATGCTGAACATCCTCGGCACTTGACTTTGGCCCGAATTAAGATTATCGGGGCGCAATACTCACGTTGATTCGTTGTGCTGAAGTTCGTGCAAGAGCGTTCTAGTAGAATTCTGGAGTGTCAAGGCGCACCAGTCATGATTATTCGCGGCGCTGAAGTCCCAAGAGTTTTGGTTTGGCACGATACAGGACAGTCCAGCGGATATCTTCAAATGGGGCACTTCCCGCAATGCAAGCAAGTTATTGGGACCTATGGAGAGGGAATTGCGAGGGAGGGTTCATTGCAAAACCGTTGGCGCGTCTTGGGTTTAGACTGGTCCTCCTCGTCTACATGTCTTGTGCACGCTCCTCCTCCTCCTCCTCCTCCTCCTCCTCCTCCTCCCCCTACTCCTCCCCCTACTCCTCCTCCCTCCCTCCTTCCCTCCCTCCTCCTCCTCCTCCTCCTCCTCCTCCTCCTCCTCCTCCTCCTCCTCCTCCTCCTCCTCCCCCTACTCCCTCCCTCCCTCCCTCCTTCCCTCCCTCGCGGCCCAGAGGCCGTCAGCGGAGGCAGCCTCGAGGACCGCGCCCGCTCCCGCCTGGGGTGGGGGCCGCCCAGACGCATCGACTCGCAGACATCGCCGCGGATAGTTCATCCACCATTTCGGCGCCGAAGGTTTAACCTTCGAGTTTCGAGGTTCGGGCCGGACGAAAGGGGGGGATTGGGAAAGGGGGGGTTGCGAAATTTGCTGCATGCAGCTGGTTTCGCCCCCACGGAGGGGCCCACTCTTCGATACATAGCCGCCTCCGGCGCCGGGAGGCGCCGGGAAAGTCAGCTACGTGAGCTGATTCTCAAACCCCCCCTTTGCTATCCCCCCCTTTCGCCCGACCCGAGAGGTTCGATGCGTTTTGCATGGGACTTTCTTTGCTTTGGGGGGGCCTCCCGGGGCACTCTCGTCGGCACCGCGGCAGTCTCTGCAGTCGCAGCGCGCCCCAGGATGGGTCCCTGGGGGCGTGGGCCCACACATCCCGCGGTGCTGGAGCCGAGCGGGTTGGAGGGTGGCGCAGCAACGCCAGCTCATCGTCGACGCGGTGCGATCCTCTTGCCCATGCTACTGTGGCCCAGTGCGAGCGGCTTCCAATGGAGGGGTTGAGAGGAGGAAGGGGTGAAGCGGCGAACGAAGAACGGTAACATCTGGTGTCTTCCGCCTTGCGAGGATGCCTTGCCCAAAAGAGTCTGGAAAGTTCATTCCCACGTGCCGCCAGCGGGGTATGAACTTTCCAGCCGCCCTGGGGCATGTGTCCCCCATGGCGGGAAGCACATGCTGTAGAGTTTTTCATCCACCGAATGAACAGGTAGAGAGGGAATGGGGAATGAAGGGGTGGAGAAGGAGGGATGAACGGTTGGGTTGGGACGGCATGTTTCCATCGTCTGCCCTACCATCATGAGCGCTTCTTCTTCTTCCAATCCAGCGCTGCCCCTGTATCGATGCATCATGATGTTGATCCCTCTCGCTTCGCGGGGTGCACGTCCGGAGCACCGAAAGGCTGGGCGTTGGGTGCTTTGCCCTGCTCGTCTGTCGCGCTGTTCTGCAGGTTCGTTCTGCCCGCCCCGGGGCGCTGCCAGCGCCGCGGGGGGCGGATGCGCCCCCCCCCCCCCCCCTTTCAGCGCCGGGGGCCGAGCGTGCGAACGTCCGAGAGGGGCAATGAGCATTCACCGCGTGTCAGTACAAGGTAACGGCAAGTTCAAACCCCCATGAGCATAGCAACAACGCGCCAATCGTACACAATGGTGGTTTCTTGGGGCCCTTGGGGGGCTTCTTGGGGGCCTCTTGGAGGCTTCTTGGGTTCCCCTGGGGACCTTTTGAGGACCTTTTGATGACCTTTGGGTGGGGGACCTTTTGGGGGCCTCGTGGGCCGTTTTGGTGCGCTCTTGCGCCGTCAAGTCGGAGGCAGTCTTGGGGACCTCTCGGAATCGCCTTGTTGCTCTGTTGGGACCCTCTGGGGCATTTTGGGGGGCCTCTTGGGCCGTCTTGGGGGCCTCTTGGGGGCTTCTTAGGGCCACGCAGGGACCTCCTGGGGACGTCCAGGGCCGTCTTGGGGCCATTTTGGCTGCCTGTGCCATCGTGATTCCCCGAGAGTCGAGAACAGGTGAGAACGTGAAAATCTTGAAAACGCATCGGGTACTCCATGTTTTGGCTTCTGGAGCTGCTCTTGGAGGCTCCCTTTGAGCCCTCTGGGGCCGTCATGGGGGCCTCTGGGGCCCTCTTGGGCCCGTCTTGGGCTGTCTTGGGGCCCTCTTGGGCCGTCTGGTGTTGAGCAGTCTGGAGGCCCCAGAGGCCGATGTCATATGTATCCCTTACGTTTTGGTAATTACGCTAGTGGGACCCAGAAGGGGGGCCGCCGTCTCGGTCGACGGATGTGGCGTGACTCCAGAGGGGGCAAGGGGGGACCCACTATGATCAGTGTGAGGGGGCCGAACGGTCATTCACTATCCCTTGGCGCGTGATTGAAGTGAGGTTCCGCGGTGCGGATTGTTGTTGAATTTTCATGTCTAAAGTGTAGTTATTGTTGATCCCCTGTCCGGTAACCCTTGTCTTTCTTCAATTCAAGTGCTCTTACGGGGCTCGAACCTTATTTGTTACAAGGGAAGCTGGGTGACACCAAACTGAACCCCTGGCCCCCGAGTTACAACATCAACGGTTCCCGACGCACATTTGCTCACAATGTAGTCCAACATCGCGCTCTCGCGCGCAACGTCCCCACAAATTATGCAGGAATCGCGCTCTCGCGTAGGAGTTCCGTGCAATTGATTCAGGCGCCGCGCCCCCCCCCACGACACTCAGGAATCACGCTCTCGTTTCGGCCTTTCTCACGATGTGCTTGGGAACCGCGGTATCGATCGAGCTCTACTCGCGATCCATGCAGTACTCACGCTTCAGCAACACGCCTTCTCGACCTGGCCGCTTCGGCCCGCCTTCCCGACCCGCCCGTTAGGGTCGACCCGCCCGATGGGCCCGTCTGGTTCTGCCACGTGTGTTCTGCTCCTGGCTCCCTCCTGCGAATCCCGTGCCCCATTCTTCTAGCTACCCTTTCCGTCCGTCCTCTCATCCCCTGTTTCAGGGGCTGCACCAAGTACACTTGCCAGGTAACGAAGGTATACCCCCAGGGGGCTACGACCGAAGGCGAGGCGGGTACCGAGTGTTCGGGATATACGTGTTGAGTGGCACGCGAGCAGGTAAGAGCGAACACTCTTATCATGGTTATTCAGTTCTCTCTTCTGAAGAAGCACTAGTGCTGATCCCCCTCCGGTAACCATTGTAGGTATTAGTTCAAGTGCTTCTCCCGCGGTCGTACCCTTTTTTACCATGGGAAGCACGGGATCACCAAACTGGGCCTGTGGCCCCCGACTTACCACCACAGCGGCTCCCGCGTCATATTTCCCCACAGTGTAGTCCCACATCGCGCTCTGGCGCGGGACGTCCTCACAATTTATGCAGGAATCGCGCTCGCGCGTGGGAATATCCTCCAATGCATTGAGACACCGCGCCCTCGACACTCAGGAATCACGCTCTCGCTGTGGATTTCCTGGCGATGTATTCGTGAATCGCGCTATCGCTCGAGACTCCCCCGCGGTTCATGCAGGGCGCACGCTTCAGCAGCCCGCATGCCCGTTGTGGCCGCCTGGGCCCGCCTTCCCGGCACGCCCGTTAGGGTCTACCCGCCCGGTCTGCTGCCGCCTGGTTCTGCCACGTGTTTTCTGCTCCTTGCCCCCCATCTTGGTCTCGTCTCTCTTGGCTCCATCCTCCCCCCTCCCCCTTGTCCATTCTTTCCATCCGTCCTCTCTTCCATTGCCTTAGGGGCTGCACGAAATACACGTTGCAGGCAAGAGAGATATATACCCCAAGGGGGTACGATCGAAGATGCAGAGGGCGGGTATCGAGAGTTTGGGATATACGTATTGAATGGCCCGCGAGCAGGTAAGAGCGAACAGTCTTAAAATGAGTGCTGCTGTTGTTGGTGTTGGTGTCGATATTTGTGTTTGTGTTGTTGGTGCTGTTGCTGTTGAGTTCATATATCAAGATATGTATGATTGATCCCCTCTGTTAACCATTGTACGTATCAGTTAAAGTGTTTATCCGGGGGCTCGCACCGTAGTTTTAACAATGGTAGTGAGCGGTCACCAAACTGGGCCCCTGGCCCCCCACACTTACAACAACAGCGGCTCCCGCCTGATATTTCTTCACAAGTGTAGTCCACATCGCGCTCTCGCGCGGGACGTCCTCACAATGTATGCAGGGATCGCGCTTTCGTGTAGGACGTCACTACAAAGTATTCAGACGCCGCGCCCTCGTTACTCAGGAATCAAACTCTCGCTGTGGATGTGCTTACAATTTATTTGGGAATCGCGCTATCGCTGGAGACCTCGCGATTCACGCAAAACGCACGTTTCAGCAACTCGCCTGTCACTTGTCCCTTCCTTCCATCCGTCCTTTTTGTTCCTTGTCCTAGTGGCTGCACGAAAGACACGTTGCAAGAAAGAAATCGATACCCCTAGCGAGGCGCGATTGAAAACGATGAGGGCGAATGTCGATGGTTTGGGGTATACGTGTTGAGTGGCACGCGAGCAGACAAGAGCGAACAGTCCCAACAATGATTATTGCTGTTGTTGTTGAATTCGCATGGTCTAAAGAATAAGTATGGTTGGCCCCCCTTCCGGTAACCGTTGTGTGCGTATTGTTTCAAGTAAAGTCGTTTTCCCCCCATGGTTCGCACCTTTTTAGTACAAGGGAAAGTGAGGTGTTACCAAGCTGTGTTGTTGTCCTCGGTTGACAACAAGAGCGGCTCCCGCTTGATAGTTCCTCACAATTCATTCCAAAATCGCACTCTCGCGCAGGCTTCATCATAGTGCATGCTGGAATCGCGCAATCGCGTGGGACTTCCTTTCAATGTATTCACGCGCCGCGCCCTCGACGCTCAGGAATCGCGCTCTCACTCTGGCTGTTCTCAGCATTTCTTTGGGGATCGCACGACCACTCAAATCCTCCTCGCGAGTTCTGCAGAACTCACGCTTCAGCAACCCGCCTGCTCGACCTGGCCGCCTTGGCCCGCCGTCCCGACCCTTCTGTTGTTGTAGGGTCTACCCTCCCGATGAGCCCGTCTGGTTCTGCCAATTTGTTTCTGCTCCTGGCCCCCGCGTCCTGAAAATCTCTCTCGTGCTCCAGCCTGCTCCCTCCCCCATCCGTCCTCTGCTCCCTTGTTTTAGGGGCTGCGCTAAGTTTACGTGGCAGGTAAGGAAGACATACCCCCAAGGGGGTACGGTCGAATACGTAGGAGGCGGATATCAAGGGTTTGGGATACATGTTGAGTGACACGCGAGCAAGGAAGAGCGAACAGTTTTAAAATGAGTATTATTGTTGTTGTTGCTGCTGTCGTTTCTGAATTCTCACTCTTGAAGAATAATTATTGTTGCTGCCCCCCTCGTCGTCGTCGTCGTCGTCCCACCTGCTACCCCAGCCCGCGACCCGGCCCGCGACCCGCCCGCGACCCACTCGCGACTCACCAGCGACCCACCCGCGATCCACCCGTAACCCGGCCCACGGCCCACCCGCGACCCACCTGCGACCCACCCCGCGGCCCGTCCCGCGACCCGCCCGCGACCCAACCGCGACCCACCAGCGACCCACCCGCGACTCACCCGTGACCCGGCCCACGACCCACCCGTGACCCATCCGCGACCCACCCGCGACCCACCCCGCGACCCACCCGCGACCCACGCGCGACCCACCCGCGACGCACCCGCGACCCACCCGGCGACCCGCCCGCAACCCACCCGCGACCCACCCGCGCCCCAAATGCGACCTATCCGCGACCCAGCCCGCGACCCACCCGCGACCCACCCGCGCCCCACATGCGGCTAACCCGCGACCCAGCCCGCGACCCACCTGCGACCCACGCGCGACCCACCCGCGACCCACCTCGCGACCCGGGCCGCGACCTGGCCCGCGACCCACCCGTGACCCACCAGCGATCCACCCAGCGATCCACCCGCGGCCCATCCGCGACCCACCCACATTGCATGAACGGAAAAATCTTCCCCTGCGGCTGGCTCATCGAATAATTTGTAGAGATGAGGCGCCTGCGGCGGGCCCCTTCAAAGCCTTGCAGACTGCCGACGTCCCCACCGCCCTATCACTCTTGACCGCAACTGCGGGGCGCTTACTATTTTGTACCGCGTAGCGTCCACCATATTGTTTGCACTAAGTTGTTTCCACCTAATAATACGTCGCACCACGCAATTGCGGGTAAGAGTGAGGGGGCGGGCGCGGGCGACGCGGGCGTCGCCGAGCCGGTGGACCTCGGGCCACTTTGTCTGTCGATGGCGCTCTCCTCCTCCTCCTCCTCCTCCTCCTCCTCCTCCTCCTCCTCCTCCTCTTCCTTGTCCTCGTCCTCGTCCTCGTCCTCATCGTCATCGTCATCGTCATCGTCATCCTCCTCCACCTCGTCCTCCTCCTCTTCTTCCTCGTCCTCCCTCTCCCCCCCTCGTCCTTCCATCATCGTCCTCCCATTGTCGTCCTCCCTCTCATCGGCCTCCATCATCGTCCTCCCATTGTCGTCCATCATCATCCTCCTCCCCCTCCTCCCCCTCCTCCCCCTCCTCGTCCTCCTCCTCCCCCTCCTCCCCCTCCTCCCCCTCCTCGTCCTCCTGCTCCTCCTCTTTCTCCACATTCTCCTTACATCCTCTTTTCTTCCACGTCCTCCTCGTCCCGTGTTTACTTCTCGTGCCTCCCCCTCTTTTCCCAAGATAACGGCAACGCAGTCCTTTTTTCCACTTTATGCTCCACGACTTCTCTGATCAAGGCAAGTCGCCAGGGCAAAGTTGCTAGACGGGCTGGTGTGGATGCGCGGGGCTTGAAGAGGTCGTTGCGGGCTCAGGCGGCATGCAAAAATCCGCCGCCGCGCTTGTGCGGCATTGGTTTGTTCAGTGAACGTGGTTTGGGTCGCGGGTGGGTCGCGGGGGTTTCCACCTCCACCTGGAAGGAATGCAAAAGCAGCCCGCCGCAGGCGCCTAACAAATTGTACACTGAACGTGGTTTGGGTCGCAGGTGGGCCGCGGGTTCTCCACCGGGAACGAATGCAAAATATGCCCGCCGCAGGCGCCGAACAAATTGGTTTGTACCCTGAACGTGGTCGCGGGTGGGCCGCGGCTCTCTACCTCCACCTGGAAGGAATGCAAAGGCAGCCCGCCGCAGGCGCCGAAAACATGGTTTTGCACGCTGAACGTGGTTTGGGTCGCGGGTGGGCCGCGGGTTCTCCACCGGGAACGAATGCAAAAGCAGCCCGCCGCAGGCGCCGAAAAATGTTGTTTGTACCCTGAACGTGGTCGCAGGTGGGCCGCGGGCTCTCCACCTGAAACGAATGAAAAAGATGCCCGCTGCAGGCGCCGAAAAATTTGGTTTGTACCCTGAACGTGGTTTGGGTCGCGGGTTGGTCGCGAGTTGGTCGCGGGGTGGGTCGCGGGCTCTCCACCGGGAAGGGATGCAAAAAAAACCGACGCAGGCGCCGAAAAAGGTGGTTTGTACCTTGAACGTGGTTTGGGTCGAAGGTGGGTCGCGGGTGGGTCGCGGGGTGGGTCGCGGGTGGGTCGCGGGTGGGTCGCGGGTGGGTCGCGGGTGGGTCGCGGTTGGGTCGCGGGGTGGGCCGCGGGCTGGTCGCGGGGTGGGTCGCGGGTGGGTCGCGGGTGGGTCGCGGGTGGGTCGCGGGGTGCGTCGTGGGGTGGGTCGCGGGGTGGGTCGCGGGTGGGTCGCGGGTGGGTCGCGGGTGGGTCGCGGGTGGGTCGCGGGGTGGGTTGCGGGGTGGGTCGCGGGTGGGTCTCGGGGCGGGCTGCGAGTGGGACGACGACAACAAACAACAACAATAACAACAACAACAACAACAACAACCACGACGACGACGACGACGACGACGACGACGACAACAACAACAAACAACAAACAACAAACAACAAACAACAAACAACAAACAACAAACAACAACAAAAATCCGCACCGCGGAATCTCACTTCAGCCACGCACCCAGGGACAGTGAATGACCGTTCGGCCCCCTCACTCTGATGCTTATCCTGAGTGTACGACTTCACTGGTTCGGGAAAGTCAGGGAACAGCCCGATTCGTGTCGAACCGCCATGGAAAGGTTGAAGGCGCCAGCTTCTAGCAGGACCGTCGGTCAGCAAATGCTATGGCACACGCCAGCCACAGGGAGAGGTCTCGATACGGCGGCGGCTCCAGCGCGGGCGTGCCTGTGTCGGGCCCCAGGACGAACAGAAAGTGAGACACGGCGCGAAATACATACGAGATACGGGTCGGAAGGATTTGGAGACCTACGAGGGCGGAGGTCGTTCAATGTTAAATTGCGCATGCGGTGCGAGGGTGTTAGGAACCAGGGACGTCGTTCAGGCTGGAGCTTGCCGTAATCGGTATTCTTGTTCAGCCCAGCCATACGAGTCCACGGAGTCCAGTCAAAAGTCTAGATTACTGGTGTATTGTATGTAGTCTGTTGTTGGATTCTCGTTGGGTTGCGAGCGAGGGTCTTGCATCCGTACCCTGCGTATTTTTTATGTGTGGCGGCCGTAGTGCCATAGCGTCATGGAGAAAGTAGTCTGCACAGGGGGAAACGCGCAAGTAGCACGCACGAACGCAATGGCATAAGAAGGAAGGATCAATTGTGCGGGCGATGGGCGCGAAGGCGAACGCGAGGGTGGCACGCACTTCAGCTGTCACATGGCTCCTTCTCCCCCGTGGCATCGTGCTGGTCTCCTCCTCCTCCTCCTCCTCCTCCTCCTCCTCCTCCTCCTCCTCCTCCTCCTCCTCCTCCCATTCCTCCTCCTCCTCCTCCTCCTCCTCATCCTCATCCTCCTCCTCCTCCTCCTCCTCCTCCTCCTCCTCCTCCTCCTCCTCTCATTCCTCCTCCTCCTCCTCCTACTCCTCCTCCTCCTGCTCCCCTATCGCTCCCCTTTCTTCCCGCTTCTTCCCCGACCCTCGAGCCATGCCCTCCTCCGACGACGCGTTCTGCCCGAGCCGCCGCCCCCCCGCAGGAGGGGGGGAAGGACAGAGGACGAGGAGGAGGGGGAGGAGGACGAGGACGAGGAGGAGGACGAGGAGGAGGACGAGGAGGAGGAGGACGAGGACGAGGAGGACGAGGACGAGGAGGACGAGAGAGGAGGAGGGAGAAAAGGAGGACGAGGAGGAGGAGGACGAGGACCGCGAAGCGCCCTCCTGGGGCCCTGGCCTCTACCCTGAGCAGTTTCGCCCTCCTCCTCCTCCTCCTCCTCGTCCTCGGCCCCCCCCCCGGGGACGGCCCTCTACCCTGAGCAGCTCTCGGACGGTCCCCAGGGCCAGCCTTCGATCCTGGGTCGTTGTCGGATGGCTCTGGGGCTCCAAGAGCGGCCACCCGCAGGCCGAGGAGAGGGGAACGTGCCAGGATAGAAAAAAACAGGAAACAAGAGATCGACAGAGGCGTGGGCCGTCGTTGTCGTCGCTGTCGCTGCCGCCGCCGTCGTCGACACCGCATTCGTGGTTGCGCGTCGTCGCCGTCACCGTCGCCGTCACCGTCGCCGTCGCCGTCGCCGTTGCTGCTCGCGCCGTCGCCGCCCACGCTTCCCTGCAGCCCCGGGGCTCGCAAGCAGCTGCATGCCCCCTCGCGGCGAGCCCAGGTGGACACGTCGGACATCACAGTCGAGGAGCCCCGGGTCGTTGCCGAGGACGGAATGCTCGCCTGGGCACCTCGAAGGGTCAGGGGCAACGATAGGGGGAGATAGGCAGAGGGGGGGATGCATCGACCCCCAATCGCCCACTGATTGCCGATAAGGGGCCTGAAAGCCCCAACCTGCCCAGGAAAGTGCGGATTCACTATCGGGGGCCTATCGCCGACCCATCGGCAATGTATCGCCCATTCGAGGTCGATGTTTCCTCCCCTGTGCCTATCCCCCCCCGTCGTTGCCCCTCAAAGGGGTGTTGGACCCTGGAGGCAGGGAGCCCGAGCTCCGAGCCTTGACATCCACAGGCTCGGGCGAGTCGCGCCGGAGCTATGCGGCCCTGCTCGGCACCTCCTCAAAGGGGCCCCTTCCCGGGCCCGGGGTCGTCCGAGACTGCCCCTCGGGGGTGGAAAAGAGGGGGGTGATGACTAGGGGGGGGGTGGATATCATGGCGAGGACCATGATATTTCCCCAGATTTTATGGCGCCTAGATCTTATTTCATTGCGTCCCTGGCCCCCCCGCTGGGCCGCGCACGTGCCGCCAGTCATGATTTGCACCCCCCCCTCTTGGACACCCCCCTCTTGGCCGCTCCCGATGCCCCGGATGAAGCAGTAGTCCCGGAGAGTGGGTCGAGGGGTCCCGTGGGGCCGGCGGCTCGGCAAGAACAAGTCGTCCGAGGTCTCGGTCTGGAGGCGAGGAGCAGGAGGTGCAGTGGTGGGCTTTCGTTTCGCCAGAACTTGCGAAGAGGACATGGATTGGGCATGCGTCTATCCTGGGCTAGGAGTTCTGCAGATAGCTTTCGATGCCAGGGGGGCGTCCTATGCGCTACTCCATGGAGGGATGGGCAGCAATGCAGGGGCAGCTAGCCAAGTATCAGCACGATCTCCCCAAACACGAGCGCAGCACATGGGCTCGAGGTGGCCTTGCCTTAGCCGTAATCAACGCGGCTGGCCCGGGGACCGCCTCTGTCAGTGGCGCAGCGTGCCAAGTCCTAGGACTCCACACTTGACGGGAGGGTCGCAGGTACAGCAGTCTACTGAGAGAGAGAGAGACAGACAGACAGACAGACAGACAGACAGACAGACAGGCAGACAGACAGTCAGGCAGACAGACAGTCAGACAGACAGACAGACAGGCAGGCAGGCAGGCAGACAGACAGACAGACAGACACACAGACAGACAGGCAGTCGGCAGGCAGACAGACATACAGACAGAGACAGACAGAGACAGACACACAGACAGACAGACAGACAGACAGGCAGTGACAGGCAGACAGTGGCAGACAGGCAGTGACAGACAGACAGTGACAGACAGACAGACAGACCGACAGACATGAAAGCTGAACAGCGGCCGAGCGATCACCACGTTGCCACCTCCGACACGGAAGCGCACGAAAGATGCAACAAGTTGTTTACTTGATCGTCGATACGCCTTTTTGTCTCTCTCCTCGCACACGTCCCGCCTCCTCCTTCTCCTGTCGAGCCCTGCTCTCTGCCTCTCGATCCTCGCTGCTCTTCCCTCCTCCCCCTCATCCTTCTGCTCCTCCTCGTCCTCCTCCTCCTCTTCCTCTTCCTCCTCCTCCTCGCTCCCTGATCATCCTCTTTCTCTCTCTCTCTCTCTCGCTCTCTTTCTCTCTCACTCTCTCTCTCTCGCTCTATCTCTTCTTATCCTTCTTCTCCTTGCTCCTTCTGATCTTCGACTATCATTTCACCTCCTCTCGACCCTCGATCCTCTTCTCCTCCTTTTCTTCCTGCGCCATACGTGGTCTGGCGATAATCGTTCAGAGCAGAGAGAGGAGTAGCAAAAGGGAATGCGGGAGCGAACCCGTTGTGCGTTGTGCACATTACTGCGAGTTGTGTAAACTCAGGCGTCTCGAGGCTAATATTATGTGGCTGGAGGTATTTCCTGCTATTGCGCACCTTACGTGTCCTGAGTATCAGATTCTTCGTTTCGTCTCGCTGGCACGCTTTATCAACGGACAATGGTTCGTTTCTAGAGGAAGGTATATGGTCGTAGTATCATTTAGCCTATCAGACCGACCGAAGGCCGAACAAGGAGGAGGTTGGGCGAGGAACCAACGACGGGACAACTATCCGGACAGCCGCCACCATCCATGGAACAAGTATCGGTATCACTGTCGGCTGGCCTCTTTATGTACCGATCTCGCCAGCAATAGATGTGCCGACATGTTCATATATCCATTCATCAATTTCGCTATCCCGATCGATCGACCTCGTTATCTATCTCTCGGTCGATCTCACTACCTGGTGACTTTACTATGGATCTCTCTACGGACCCTATCCATCAATCGATCTTAGTTACCACCGGTCAATATCAGTATCTACCCATCGGCTCACCCATTTGGACAACCAGCGCATCTTGTTGTTGCATGTTTCCCAAGAACCCGAGGCACCGAAGTCCGTCGGGACTGCCGTCGAGACAACCATCGGGACAGCCGTCGGGATAAGCATCGGGACAACCATCGGGACAACAATAGGGAAAACAATCGGGACAACCATCGGGGCAACCATCGGGACAACCATCGGGACAACCATCGGGACAATCGGCGGGTCAGCCAACGGGACCACCGCGGGACAACCTTCGGGACAACCATCGGGACAACCATCAGGACACCCATCGGGACAACCAGTTGGACAACCATCGGGACATCCACGGGACCACCGCGGGACAATCACAAGACAACCACAGGACAACCGCAGGGCACCGAATGGGGATCATTTCATTCCGACATCGCCCTAGCAACGGCCAGATCATTTCCTTTGCCCGCGCATGCAATTTCGCCTCGCACGCACGACACGAAAATAACACGAAGTCGACACCGAATTTCCAGTGGGGGTCTCCGTTGCACTTCGATCTCATCCCCCCAATCTCCGGTTGACAGTAGTTTTCCAGCCACGCGTTTGCGTAGATATTCGACAGATGTTGATCTTACATCAGCTACCTAAGCTCGACCGCTACATGGACGCTAGCACATCTTATACTCCTTGGACGTTCCTGCTCAGGCTGTCTCAGAGCTTTGCCAGGTTGCCGACATGCTCCACAATAGCATCATGATGGACGTGAATGCCGACATGCACAAGGTCATCACCACGAACTTGGGCGTCGACGCGACCGCTGGGCTGGCCAGCCGTCAAGGTCAGAGGTATCACAATTTTAGAATTCGGCGTTCGACTTTCATTGGGAAGGTCAAGCGCCTCAAATAGTCCGGGTTCCCAATACGGCTGCACATGTTTCAGGATGTTCGGCAACGAGCTTTTACAGGTGAGACGGGGTGCTGCTTTTACGATGACACCATCGGCAGGGATGCGGTTGTTGTTGGCTCCATGGTATGAGCGTTCGAGGACGACCCTGCTCGGTTCGGCTCAGTTGGGCCGATGAAGCGGTACGCCACGGTTAACGATGCCCCCTGGGTCATTGGCTCCTGGGACGACGAGGGAAGCCCGACAGGGGCACTCCTGGTGCCAGATTGATAACGCTTGGACTTGTGGCAGCATGGCACCCGTGGGCTTGGCAAGAAAGCTTGGTACAGTTTCTGTCTCTCGACCGCTTCCCCGACCGCCAGCAGGAACCTGGGCAGCCCCTGACGGCCTCCGAGGCTTGAATGAATGCGATGCGAGGCCGTAGGGACAGATGGCATCGTGTCTCGAGGGGCCTTCATCCGAAGCTCTGTCCGGGCAAGTCGCAGTACGTCGATTTTTGTTGACGAGCTCCAGTCGGCCCTTTCAGGATACCTCCGCTGCTCCCTCCCCGGGGGCCAGGAGGCCCTGTGAGGGGGCAACCGACCAAGGGTTTTTATGCTAGGGCTCGCCCATCTTGCCACCCTCGGCCGTATTACGGTAGGTTCGCGTCGTGTCGACCCTCGTCGACCCCGCCGCGGGAATTCAAGGTTGAACGCCGCTAGTGGCCCAGAATCGACCAGCATGAAACGATTGGGCGATCGAAGAGCCGCTGATCGTTCAAGGTTGAACGATCTACGCAGTGTCAGAAAGCAACGCCAGGGTCGTCACGACACGAACCTGCCGTAGCTGCTCTGCCCCTAGAGGAGTCCCGCGGCGCTTTCTCGTTGATGGTCTTGCTCTCTCGCTTCGTTGGGCCTGCGGGGCGCCTGCCTCTGTTCCGCTCGGCACGCCCTTCGCCGGCCAGCCACAGCCCCTGGTGCCATCTCTAACAGTCTCGTGCTGTAGGTCTCTGGCTCACTCATCCTGGCGGATGCTGGGCAAAATCCTCCTCATCCTCTTCTTCTTATCTTCCTATCCCGTCTCTTCCTCATCCTGACCCATGAACATCCTCTCTCCCTCTCCTCGCCCTCCTTCTCGTCCATCTCACTTTCTTATAAGTAACTCTCCTTGTCGCACTACCAGGCGTGTCCGTCGGCTGGGCTGGGCGTTTCTTTCGAGGGTTCCCTACAATGTAGCGGTAAAACAATCCCAACACTTTCAAGGATGGAGGGCCCAGCGCTTTCGCGCTGCAGCTCTCGCATTATTCACGCAGCCTCCGCGCCAAATGAATTATTCCGAAAGGTGCCCAGCCGCTTCACGGACGGAGGATGGGCGTTTTTTACACGTGGTTCTCACCCCAGCACCGCGCATATTGTCCTTGAAAGTTCCAAAGGCTTCAAGGATAGAAGGCCAGTTCGTTTCCAAAATGCGGTTATCGCCTTAGCGCCGCGCACATTCGTTTGATAGTGCGCAACAAGTTCAAGAAGGGAGGCTTGCTCGGTTTCAAAATGCTTCAAAATGCAACTTGCCTCAGCAACGCGCACATTCCTTTTGAACCTTACAGCTACAGGGATGGATGGACGACGTTTGTTTGTAATGGGGTTCTCGCCTCACCGACCTGCACAATATTTTCAATAAGTTGCAATAGCTGCAAGGATGGAGCGTGACTCATTTTTCGGAACGAGAGTCTCGTTGGGGACGTCCTGGGATGAGCTCGAACAGGTGTGAGAGCTGCACGGGTGGAGCCCAGCCCCTTCACGAAGATATCGTTTCAGACACCATCGCATCGGAGGGCCCAGCACAGAGTGCCGGGGGGCAGCTCCTCTTCAGAACGGGGTTCTCGCTGGACCGTCCGCTGAACCTCATGATCCTGGCTTCTGGTGCTCCTGATCACTCGCTGAAGAGGACGTGCGGCATGCTCCTTCTCGAAGCGGGGTCATCCCTGGACGCTCCGCTGAAACTTCGTGGTGCTGCCCTCCCGGTGCTCCTGCCCACGCGCCGAGAAGGATGCATGGCAGCTCCTCGTCAGAGCGAAGCGCTCGCCCCTCAATGGCAGGCCCACGGGGGTGATCGTCTGTCACGGGGGGCGCCTCCTGCTGGAGTGAAGGCGAAGGCTCTCGCAGGGACCTGGACGGGAGGGCGCATGGCAGCACCGCTGATTCATCGTGGGTTTTTGTTGTGGTCCTCCTCCTCGATCCTCTACCCTCTGTCTCTTCCTCTATCCTACATCGTCTATCCTCTGTCCTCTAGCCCCCACGGGTCCGCCTCCTCGATCCTCTGTCTATTCCCACCTCCTCCTCGAGACGGCGGGGCCGGACAGACAAGAGCCGCGCGTGCGTGAGCGACGCGGCGAGGACGACGACGAGGCAGAGGACGAGCGCTCCCTCTGGGGCGCGGGGCTGAGGCGTGCTCGATCGTCGAGGGGAGGTCAAGCCGACTGCAGAGAATGCGCGACATACTGGTTCATGTGTCGTCTGGCTTGCGGGACTTGTAGTTGTGGCTGGCACGCGTATTAGATTTTGCCCTTTGCCGCCAGGTTCCCAGGTTGAGCCATAGTGTGATTAGACTTGAACGCTGTAAGAATATCGCTGTAAGAATATCGTAGAGGGAGGAAGGTGCCAAAACATTCGAGGTATGATGTGTGCCGCTCCGCGCGTTTGTCCTTCACTTCACCCCCCGGCGGCCGTTAGTTATCGGGCCGGGGGGCCATCAGAAACACATCCGGGGAGTTACCCCCAGGAAGGGGGTAGAGATTTCCAAGTCCGCGGATTGCAAGCAAACGCGTCGTCGGATGTCTGCGTGGGCGGAGCGCATTCGGAGCTGGCGCGAGGGGGGCAGCCTTCTGAAAAATCCTGGGGGCATCCCAGAACGCCGAGGTTTGTATAGAAACGGCCCAGACGTTTTGAAGAAGGCTTCTGCGAAGATGCCCCCCCGTGGGGCGGCGGGTTGGACGAAGGAGCCGTCGGACAGGAACGGGAGGAGGAGGTGGAGGAGGAGCAGGGGACGGGGTCGGGGCCGAGAAACGGAGCAGAGGAGGCGGAGGCGGAGGAGATGGAGGACGAGGAGGCGAGGAAGAGGACGAGAAAGAGGAGGACGAGCGCTACCTCTACCAGGAGGCTGGACCCCGCCCCCAACGTAGCACGAGGCCGGCCGCTCGCACCGACGATCCGCGGGGACACCGCACTGGCCTAAGGGGACGGCGAGGACGACCCCAACGAGGAGAAGGAGGAGTGAGGGCATCCGCCTCGCCGGCTCCTGGCGCCAGCGGAGAAAGGCTGTCCTCGACTGGTCCATGCTCCATCACCCCTCCCTCTCCAGCGCTGGCTCCGGATCCCACGACTCTGGCAGCCAGGTTCGCCTCTCCACTGTCCCCATATCTCCGTCGTCTCACTCTCGTCTCTCCGAGTCTGTCTCCTACCGCCACAACTCAAGTTGGCAAAGGATCGACATGGCACGGGTTTAGAAGTGTCCGGTCAGAATCAGCAGTAAATTTTACAACTCAAGCGCCACTTGCTCACAATTATCCGAGTCTGGCGTTCACGTCGTCTCCAGCTGCGACCGCGTCTCTCCGATTCCGACTCCTGTTAGACTCCGGCTCCCATCTCTCCGGCTCCAGTTCTCCAGCGCCCACCATTCCGATTCCAGCTGAGATTCGCTGATGTTGCGCCATGACTCCTCTCTGAACCCAGGCCTGCCCTCGCTGCCCTCGCAGGGCTAGACGGTCAGACCGATTGTGCGCGCTCGCTCGTTCGCTCCTCCTGACTCTTGCTCCCCCCGCCGCAGCACGGCACCCGCAAGGCGGGATGTCGAAAACGGGGGCGGCGAGCTCTGACCGACGACCACAACCCTCGAGTGGGGAATCGACTACAGAATTGATTTACCCCAAACTTGATTTCCACGTCGACTCTTCAGCAAAAAGACGTCAACCTTTCGTAGATCTGCGAAAGTTTTACGAATTGCCTGTGGATTCGTCAAGGAAAATCAAGTCTGGGGCAAATCAATTCTGTAGTCGATCCCCTGCCCGAAACCCGAGCGGAGAACCGTTGTGCTCACAGCGCGTTGCAATGCGGCGGGCCGTCTCGTTGCGGCCCCGGGGCCAGGGCTGGCCTCTGGGGGCCGAGGCCACGAGTAGGCCACGAAGGCAGAAAAATGCCGGATCGGCCACGAGGCCACGAATCGGCCAGGAATTTGGAGCAGAAAGGCCGCCAGCATCGCCAGCCGTGACTCGGTGGTTCCAGGATGGGGTCCTGATAGATGGGGTCCTAACAGTAGGACCTCAGTAGGAAGGGCTCCAAGGGTGGATTGACTTTGTTTGGGGCGCCTCGTTCTTAGGACCCCATCCCTCAAGTCCCCATCTTTGAACCGCCGAGTGAAAGCAGGGAGCAACGAGCAGGGGATCGAAGGAGGAAAAGCCGGCATGAACATACACGTTCGACGGTCCGCGCGGATGTATTGGATTTGCGCTGGGCTACCCTGGCGGCGCCTCCAGCGCTGCCCCTGGCACGCTCCGCGCGCCTCGGAGGTGGGTTTAGCGCGGATCCAAGAAGTCCGCGCAGACCTCCAAAAGTTTATGTTTATGCCATTTGTTGTTCCTCTGAAGGAGCACCCCTGCTTCTAAGAAGGCGCGGGCCGTGTCTGTAGATGTAAGGTCGGCGTCTTCTAAGGAGCAGCCTCTTCAGAAGCCATCCCCCCTCCCCCTGACCCCCTTGTGCGCGCCGCCAAGTTTTTGAAACACCGAATGAACGGAGCAACGATCGAACGGGACTAGGACGAGGATAAAGCCGTTCCAGAGCGTTCCGGAACGCTCTCGGAGCGTTCTGGGGTGCTCTGAGAAGGCCGCGGCGCCCGAGACGTCCTCCAGAGCCTGGATCGCAGAGATTCTCGACTCATCCTGGCCCGATGTGATTCTCGTCCTGGCGTCGTCTGAAGCGAGCAGGGGGGCCGTAAAGAGAGGCATCGACGCCCGAGGCGTGGGTTTTGGGGGCCTCGGCGGCGGAGCGCCTGCGGCCCAGGCGGTCTCAGGCGCCTGGGCATCGGGCGGTCTCGACCACGCGAGGGTTCGAGGCTCGAGGTTCGAGGGCCTTTCTTTTGGGGTGGAGGTGCTGGAGCTTGCCAGTGGAGCTTGCCAGTGGGGGCAGCGGCGAGGGCGGCGTCGATGCCGCCGTTCGCGCTGCTTCCTCCAGGTCACTCCGGAGGTGCTTCGAGCATATCAGGGCCCTTTTTGTTGTTTGGTTCTCGGTGGCTTGCCAGACTCGGCATGCTTGACAGCAGCTGCGCTTCCTCGCCGAGGGATTTCTGGGGGTGCCTGGATCTTCCCGAACGGCCGCCAGAGACCCGAGGTAGGACCCAAAAACCCAAGTCGACGGCGAGCGAGGGGAGAGTGAGAAGGAGAAGGCTTTCTCAGAAGGCGGCAGAGCTTCTCAGAGGCCCTCCGGCCCTCTGGGAGGGTTCTGTGTCTTCCGGGAGGGAGTCGAAAACTTCCGAGAAGGTTTTGTGATTTCACAGCCTTCTGAGAAGGCCCGCCCCTTCTCACTTCCCCCCGGGCTCGCCGCCGAGGAATGTTTCTTCGCCCCCCGCGAGGGGGGTCGAAGATGGAGGGGTCGAAGATGGAGGGGGCCGTTGTGTACATCCCCTGGCGATAGCGGGCGTGTCTGGGGGAAACGACGGGAGCAAAGCCCCGATCACAGAATGAGGCCCACGCTGCACCGGGAGCATCATCCTGGAAGGGCCGACAATGTAGGCAGCGGAAGAGCACACCAGAGAAGCAGATTCGGCACGAATTAAAATCCAAAATGTGGATGGAGTCGGGCTATTCCCTGGCCATCTTCGGTGGAGAGAGGAGAATAATCTGAGCTAGGCGTGCTCGCGCCATGTCTGATATCCTCCCACTCCTACCCATCCCTTCACATTGCATTGATTGTTTCTCTATCCGCGGATGCGTGTTATAGCGGACATGGAGATCCCACACATATCCCATCGTGTTATGCGCAATTGGAAGAGGCGAGCTGCGTACACAGGAGGACGGGGTGGAAGAGGTGGCGGATGAACAAGAGGTTGAGCAGGAGGAAAAGGAGGAGGATGAGGAATGAGGAGGACGACGAGGACGAACAGAAGCAGCGGGAACTGGAGCGGAAGGAGCGGGAGGAGCAGGAGGGCCAGGGGAAGGCGGAAGAGGGGAAAGGACGGGGACGACAACGATGTGGAAGGATTCGGATCCAGACAAAGCGGCCCGCTTTGGGGCGAGAGCGCCAGTCTGATGAATGGGAGCAAAGCGCCGATCGTGAAATGAGGCCACCACTGCAGCGGCGGCACCGTTTTGAGAGACCGAAGACGTCCTGATACACAACTACTCCGACGCTAGGACCACGTAATCTGGACGTAAACCTCATCGTCGTAGTCCGCGCGTGAGAGCAGGAGCTCTCTTCCCGTCTCGTCATCGCCCTTCTCAGTTTCGCTTTGGCGGAGGCCCTCTTCCCGCCCCCCGCTTTGCCTCCCCCTCGTCCTCCTGCCTCTCCTCCCCCATCCAACTCCTTCCCTGCCCTTCCCCAGCAGGGGCGCGCAGGTCAGGGAGCCGCTAAGGCCGGCAGGGGCGGGTTCTCCGATGGCCGGATGGCGAAGCCATTGGGGCAACCCCGCGCGCCAGGCCGTTGGGACAGCCCCGCGAGCCGCTGGGGCGCGGGAGCAAGCCGTTGGGACCACCCCGCAGGCCTCGAGCCAGTCGCGGCCGCGCTCAGGCGGGAGGCATCGCGAAGCCAAGCTCTGCCGCGAGCTGCTCCGCCTCAGCTCTGGAACTCTCCAGTTTCTTGCCGAATCCCCGGGCGCGTTCCGCAGGGGCGCCGTCGGCCCGCACCCCAGGAACTCTCGCGTGGGCGGCCGCAGGATCAGCATGCTCTGCATGCTCGTGGCGCGGGCGAGCGTGACGTAGAGGTGCAGCCCGCTCCACGTTCTTCCCTTTTTTCTGCACGGCCATGAACCGAACATCCATGCCAACGTGTGCCGGTAAGACGCCGCGGATGCCCCCCGTCCTGTGCACGTTCGGGACGTTCAGGAGGCGCCGGCCCGCGTCGGGATCGCCGCGTATCGTGCTGCACTCGCCCACGGCCTGCAGGAAAACCATGGGCATTCCCAATCGCCGCGCGTCGCGACGAGCGCGCGTGTCGATCCACCTCGCCAGCATCCTCCACTAGATGCCCATGCCGCAGCCGAAACGGAAGTTCTCGTGTTGGCGCCGGCGCCGAAAGTCCAGGACGCCGTAGTTGTCCAGCGACCAGTGCGGCGATGTTCGCATTGGGAGTCCATGACACACTGCCGGCGAAACTGGCCGCAGTGGGGGTGCCGGAGAGGCCGCCAGTGCCCTCGTCCGCGCCGTCGTCGGCGCCCGCGTCGCCCTCGTCTCGACCGCCGTAGAGGGGGCGGTCGTCGTGCAGGGTCGCGAAGGAGTTTTCGCATCGCGCGCCGCCTTGTACCCAAGGCCGGTACCTTGCCGCAGGCGAGGGATCGGTCGCGTCTCCCGTCGGCTCGGGCACGATCGCGCCGTCGCGGGCCGACTCGGACATGCACGGAAGCGCAAAGAATTCGTTGGCCTCTTGGGTAACGCGTTTGCAGCGCGCGAAGCTCAGGACGTTCGTCATGTCCTTCCCCCCGTCGGCACCCCACGCCGATTCCAGTCACAGACGAGGCCCCCGTTTGAGAGTTTTTCCATACTCGAATTCGAGGAGGCCAGGAGTGACATGAACTGGGGCTTCCCGGATTAGTAGTATGAGCTGCGGTCCCCATAGGGAGGGGGCTCCCGCTTGAGACTTCCTCGCAGTGCACTCACAGGCCAGGCTCCCGCGTGAGACTTCCTCCATGTTCAAGCTGGAAGAAAACGAAGTGACGACAGTCACAGGGTTCCGATGACCCGTTCGGGTTCATAACGCGAGCTGCGGGCCCCATAAGGAGGTTCTCCCGCTTGAGATTTCGCACAGTTCAACCACATACGAGGACCCCGCGTGAGACTTCCCCCATACTCAAGCTTGGGGAAGCCCAGAGCGACGACGGCTACAGGGTTCCGATGGCCCGTTCGGATTAAACACATGAGTTCTGGGCCCCATGCGGAGGGTGGGGGCACTCCCGCCTTAGATTTCATCGCATTTCACTCACAGACGATGCTCTCGCCTGAAACTTTCTTAAGATAAGTTCATGTGTGTGTGTGTGCGAGGAGGGGAAGGACGATAATGATGAAGACGATGGTACTGCGAGAGTGACGCGAATGACGAGGGGGTCATGACCATGGTGAGAGTGTGATCGTGATGATGGTGATAGTGTGATGAGGGTGATGATGTTGATGTTGATAATTGTAATGATGATGACGATGATGACCGTGATGCTGATGACGATGTTTGCGTGTGCGTTCCACTGACACACACATGAGTCAGCGCGTGAGTGGGTGTTCGAGTGTGTGCGATGATGACGGTGGTGATGATAATGATTGGTATCGATTGATAATGATAGTGTGTGCGACGATGATAATGGTTGATGGTTGTTGGTGATGCTGATGACGATGATGATGTTGATAGTGATGATGGTGATCATGATGATGATGATGCTGATGATCATGATTATGACCATGATCTTGATCATGATCATGATGATGGTAGTGCGATGCTGGTGACGATGATGGTGTGGGAGTGCTCCGTGTCAAGGTAAAACACGAGCCCCACGTGTAGAGTGGGGACAACATGGGAAGGACCAACGTTCGAAATCCGATGTGTATGTAAACGAAAAACACTACCCGGACGGGGCGGGCCACTCCCCGGCCATTTGAGTGGGAGAGAGGAGGGTGGTATTCATATTGAGTAAGTGTGGGAGGAGCGAAGGAAAGGAGGAGGAGGAGGAGGAGGAGGAGGAGGAGGAGAGGGGGGGGATGCAGGAGGAGGAGAGAAGTGTGAGGGAAGGGAGCTTTGATGTGGTTCCTCGGTTCGCACGAGACCGTCCGTGTTCAAGGGTGGCAGTCAGTGTCGTGTCAGGCTATGTTGGGGTACATGTAGAAGGAACTCGATGGTCGCCCGCTGCGACGGTGGAGGAAATAAGTCCACGCAGGCCGGGAACATAAAAAGTTGGTTGAAGCCGCGGTGACGGCCGTGCATGTTTTGCCGCGCCTGGCGGAAAGGCAGTGCGGGGCGGGGGTTGGCCTGAGAAAGGGCGGTTGGTGCATGGGTTGGTCAAGGCGGATATGCGGAGTCCAGCCATGTTTGTAAGCATCACGCAGAGCACAGCTTGCTTCTCAACAGAGGGCAGTGGGGAGTTGGGGAGGTCGACAGTGGCCATTGGTAGCCACGCGTACGAGCCGCTGCCGACGGAGGACTTCGACTGGGAGGGCGCATCGCCTGCGCACTCGGACGCGAAAGCAGCAGCTCCGGCGGTGGCAGACGCGGCATCATCAGCAGCAACGGCGGCACACCGCAGCAGTGGCAATCTTGGCTCGGGGCATCTGCGCGCGCGGCCCTGGCACAACGCCCCAGGTGGCGCTCGCGGCGCCGAGGCGACTTCTCGCCCCAGCTTGGGGTGCGGGGGGGGGGGGAGGCCAGGATGGTGTCGCGGAGCGAGCCTGCGGAGGCGGAGCTCCGGCTGCGGGCCGCGCCTCCCGCTGTGGCGGCGCAGCCGCAGCGCGACGGGCACGACCGCACCACGGCGCCTCCATGCGGCCACTGTGGACGTCAGGCGCACCCTCTCCGAGATCAGGGCTGGCGTGCTCAGCCTCCCTGCGATGCCATGGCAACTGCCGCGGCCGACGCGGCGGTGGCCTCCCCCAAAGGTTCACTGAGCGAGTTCACAGAGGCAGGGTTCTACACGCTTGGTGGCGCCGAGAATGAGAGCCACGTCGGCAGCTCGGCCCCCCCCCCAGGGCCTGGCTCACCGGGGGTTGCCGAGTCGGAGAAGAAAGTCGGTGTGACCATGATCCCCGAGGTCCCCCTTCCCCCGTGCTGGCCAACGCATGCAGAGGCATCGTGGCGACGGGCACCGACGACAGGCTGGGGGACCCCTGTGACGCTGCACACGCTGAAGTACTAGCACGACAGGCGAAGCCGAGGACACCGAGGAGAGCGTGCCCCCAAGGCGAGCGTAGACAACGACGGGATGGGGGCACTGAATACCCCGCCCGCGCGCGCGCGCTGAACAACAGCGGCAACGCGGGCGAAGCGGTGCCGCCCTGGAGGTGGCAGCTGCTCGTGGGGTCGTTTGTCGAAACAAAAAAAACCCCTTGATCGAAGGAGGACAAGCTGCATTAACATAAACGTTCGGAGATCCTTGCAGATTTCTTGGAACTGCGCTGGAGGCCCCTGGCGGCGCTTGCGGCGCCGCCCCTGGCGCGCTTCGCGCGCCAGGGAGGGGGGTTCAGCGCAGATCCAACAAATGCGCGCGGACCGCCAACAGTTTATGTTTACGCCGTTATCGAAGAAGCCTTCGGCGAATCACCGCCGCCCCCAGCTTGTTTGGAAGCGCCCATGTGGTCGAAAGTTGGGCCAGAGTGATCGGACCATGTGTTCCCCAGCCTGTTGTTGAAACCTTTCGGGGAACACGTGAGGAAGAGGATAATGAGGAGAATAAGGAAAATGGCGTATGAGGAGCAGGAGGAGGAGGAGGAGGAGGAGGAGGACGCCTCTTGGAAGCCTCTTGGGGTATTCTTGGGGTCTCCTTGGAGCTTCCTGGGGACCTGGAGACCTCTTGGGGGCCTCCCTGGGCCTCTTGGGGGCCTTTCGTGGCTGCTTCAGCAGTCTTCGGGCGTTTCTGGGTCTGACGCCTTCGGAAGCCGTCTTGAATGCCTCGCTGAACCGACTTGGGGCCCTCTTGAGGCGCTTCAGGGCCGTGTTGGAGGCCACCTTGGGCGTCTTGGAGGCCTCTTGGGCCGTCTTGGGGCCCTCTTGGGGCCGTCTTGGAGGCCTTTTGGGCCGTCCTGGGGCCATTTTGGATGCCTTTGGGGCCTCTTCGGGCGATCTGGCCGTCAAAGGCCGAAAAGATGCAAATGCTAAAATCCTTGAACAAACGTATGAAAATCAATGATTTGGGCATCTGCGGGCTGTCCTGGAGGACCTCTTGGAGGCCTCCTGGGCCGTCTTGGAAGCCTCTTGGAGGCCCCTGGGGCCGTCTTGGGCCGTCTCGGAGGGTTCTTGGGCGGACGTGGAAGCATCTCGGACACGCTTGAGCCGTCTATCAGAGCGTGAATTACCTCCCCCGCTTTCGCTTCCAGGAAAAACCAAGTCATACCACGCGCCTCCTCGTCAAGCCGCCTGACCAGTACAGGCCGTAGTTTGGCATCGCTTGGCATCTCTTGGAAGCGAGGGTGGTCAACAGCGAGGTAGGTGTGTTTCCTCCTTAGTCTAGGAGGCCACCTCGGACCATCCTGGGCGAACTTGAGGGCCATCCTGGGCGAACTTGAGGGCCATCGTGGCATGTTGGAGGTCATCGAGGCCGTCCTTGGAGTCGTTGCTTGCGCGGCGGCGCGGCCTTACAGGCGGCCGGCGCGCGGGGCCGAAGACCCCGGGGGGAGTTTCTCTTGGGAGAAGGACCAACACCAAGCCGTAGGATCTACGGTAGGTTTGCGTCGTGTCGACCAGCGGCGACCCCAGCGCGGACGTTCAAGGTTGAACGCCGCCGCCGGCCGAAGACCCAGGGGGAGTTTCTTTTGGAAGAAGGACCAACACCAAGCCGTAGGATCTAGCACGCCAGGCGCCCCTGTTCAGAGCCCCGAATCATCAGGGGTAACTCGGGTCAGGGCTAACTCGGGCTCGTTTTTCGGGAATCCAAGCCCGAGTTACCCCGGACCCGAGTTACCCCGGATAACTCGGGCGTCCAGAGCCCCGAATCATCAGGGGTAACTCGGGTCAGGGCTAACTCGGGTTCCTTTTTCGGGAATCCAAACACCAACACCAAGCCGTAGGATCTACGGTAGGTTTGCGTCGTGTCGACCAGCGGCGACCCCAGCGCGGACGTTCAAGGTTGAGCGCCGTGGCGACCCAGAATCGATCGATGTTGCACGATCGGACGTTGCGGCAGCGGCCGATCGTTCAAGGTTGAACGATCCCTGCGGTGTCAAAAACCAACGCTGGGGTCGGCACGACACGAACCTGCCGTAGCACGCCAGGCACCCTTGTGGCAAGCAAACAGGGGGCGGCGGATGACGGAAAGCGCGCGTAGCGTACGATCCGTCAGTCGGGAAAAACTATATCGGGGGAAGTTCGAGGGGGGCGGCAGCCGGATCTTCAGATCTAATGGCAAGAGTTTCCTTCCCGAGGCCTCCAGTGGCCTCCATATAGCCGAAGACGGTCCAAGATGGCCTCCAAGACTGCTCCAGAGTGATCAAGAGGCCTCCAACTTCGCCCAAGATGCCTCCAAGGCAGCCAAAGAGGCCTCCAAGGCAGCCTAAGAGGCCTCCAAGACGCCCCCAGAGGCCTCCCAACAGGCCCGAATACGCAACAATCAGTCGTGTTTCACTAGCTTTTGATGGGTTTGGGGATTCTCGCCTTTTCGGCTGCCCGACGCCCCAAGACGACCCAAGAGGCCCCCAAGATCGCCCCAAGACGGCCCAAATGGCCCCCAAGACGGCCCCAGGAGGGCCCAAGAGAGGGCCCAGACGGGGTACCCGAACGACTTTGTCGGGCCATCGGCCCCAGGACGCCGCCAGGAGGCCCCAATACGCCCCCAAGAGGCCCCAAGCGGCCCCCAAGAGGCCCCAAGGAAGCCCCCTACAGACTTCAAAACGGACCCCAGGAGGCGTTGAATCGGCCTCCCGAGGGGACCTTTAACGATATGAGGAGGAGGAGGAGGAGGAGGAGGAGGAGGAGGAGAAAGCGGAGGAGGAGGAGTAGGAGGACGAGGAGGAGGAGAATGAGGAGGAGTGAATGATGTTGGAATAAACCCTCCCTCCAAGCTCCCTCTTCATAGGCCCCTAAAACGGTTCATTTCCCTTGAGGGAACTGCCTCGTCGGATCGTTGGAAGACAACCGTTTGAAGACCCTGAAGCATACCAAAAAAATATTCTCTGGATTACAACGCCGCGGATCAACGTGATTGTTGCGTCTTGACGATCCAGGATCGTGTCAGAAAGCCATTCTTGGGACTTCATCACCGCGAAGCAACGTACCTGTTGCACCCGCATAGCTTTGAATCCTTCAAAACACAGATGTTGGTACGCTGATCATGAGAATCCGTGGAGCTCTTGCAAGTGTAGTAAACGAATGTGCGCGATGCGAAGGCGAGAGTCACATGTTGAAAAGGAACCGCCCTCAATTCGTGAAGCTCTTGCAAATGTTTGAAGCGAATGTGCGCGGCGCTCAGGCGAGAGCCGCAGTTTGAAAACAGGTCGCCCTCAATCCGTGAAGTTATTGCACACACTTAGAACGAATGCGCGCGGCGCTAAGGCGAGAGCCACATTTTGAAAACGGCCCGCCCTCAACCAGTGAAACTCCTGCAAATGTTTAGCGCGGCGCTAAGGCGAGAGCCACATTTTCAAAATGACCCGCCCTCCATATGTGAAAGCATTGCTAAGTTTGAAGCTTCAGAGTCATACATACGTGGCGAGGAAGTCTCAGGCGAAACGCCCGGCCCGCCCTAGCAATTGGCCTCGGGGTGCGACAAGGATAAGTTATGCATAAGGAAAAACGAATGGAGGAGGACGATGATGATGATATGATGATGATGAGGAGGAGGAAGAGGAGGAGGAGGAGAAGAAGAAGGGGAGGGGGAGGGGAGGGCGAGGAGGAGGAGCGAAAAGGAGGATGAGGACGATGAGGAGGAGGAGGAGGAGGAGCGAGGAGGAGCGAAGAGGAGCGAGGAGGAGGAGGAGGAGGAGGAGCGAGGAGGAGCGAGGAGGAGCGAGGAGGAGCGAGGAGGAGCGAGGAGGAGGAGCGAGGAGAAGCCAGGAGGAGCGAGGAGGAGGAGGAGGAAGATAAGGAAGAGGAAGACGGAGGAGGTGGAGAAGCGAGGAGCGAGGATGGGGGAGCGTGGAGCGAGCTGCGAGGAGCGGGAGGCGGAGGAGGAAGAGGAGGAAGAGGAAGCTGTGGCGGAGGAGCGGTAAGCGAGAAACGACGCGCAAGGAGGAGGAGGAGGAGAAGGAGCAGTTGGATGAGGATGAGAATGAGAATGCGGATGTGGATGATGATGATTATGCGTACGATGGCGATGCCGTTGGTGATGGCGATGACGATGATGATGATGACGATGGTGATATGGTGGTGCTGCTAATGGTGATGGTGATGCTGTTGCCGCTGATGATGACGGTGACGATGATGATATTGATGATGAGGACGATGGTGATGCTGATGGTGGTGATGGTGCTGGTGGTGCTGATACTGATGATGCTGGTGATAGTGCTGAATATGCTATTAAGTATGACGATGATGATGATGACGGTGCTGATGATGATGATGATGATGATGATGATGATGATGATGATGATGATGATGATGATGATGATGATGATGATGATGATGATGTTGACGATGATGCTGATAATAATGATGACGGTGATGATAGTGCTGGTGGTGGTGATGCGGATGGTGTTGGTTATGATGAGGATGAGAAGGGGCGGAGGAGGAGGAGGAGCGGGAAGCGATGAGCGAGGAGCAAGGAGCAGGAAGCGCGAGGAGGGGGGAGCGTGGAGCGAGGAGCGGGAGGAGGAGGAGGAGGCGGAGGAGGAGGAGGAGAGGAGGAGGAGAGGAGGAGGAGGAGGAGGAGGAGGAGGAGGAAGAGGAGGAAGAGGTTGAGGAGGAAAGATGCGCGAGGATGAGGACGATCAGGAGGAGGAGGAGTAGGAGAAGGAGGAGGAGGAGGAGGAAGATGAGGAGGAGGGGATTGTGTGATGAGCGAGGGGCGAGGAGGGGGAGGAGCGTGGAGCGATGTGAGCGGAGGCGGAGGAGCAAGAAGAGGCGGAGGAGGAAGAGGAGGAGGAGGAGGAGGAGCGAGTAACGAGGAACGAGGAGTGATGCGCGAGGAGCGAGGAGCGACCCACGAGGCGCGAGGAGCGAAGATCGAGGGGGAGGAGCGAGGGAGATGCGGAGGAGGTGGAGGGGGTGGATGATGAGAAGGAGGAGGAGGTGGAGGAGGATGAGGAGGAGGAGGAGGAGCGAGCGAGCGAGCGAGCCAGCGAGCGAGGAGGAGACGGAGCGAGCGAGCGAGCGAGGAGGAGGAATGAAGAGGAGGAGGAGGAGGAGGAGCGAGCGAGCGAGCGAACGAGCGAGGATGAGGAGCGAGCGAGGAGGAGGAGGAGGAGGAGCGAGGAGCAGGAGCGACGAGGAGGTGGAGCAGGAGGAGGATGAGGAGGAGGAGAAGGAGCAGCCGCAGCAGAAGGGGCGAGCATCAGCGAGGAGCAGCGAGGACGAGCGAGGGCGAGCGAGGAGTCGGAGTGAGGATCGAGGAGGATAGGAGGATGAGGAGAAGAAAGGGGAGGAGGAGGAGGAGGAGGAGGAGGAGGAGGAGGAGGAGGAGGAGGAGGAGTAGGAAGAGGAGGAGGAGGAGGAGGAGGAGGAGGAGGAGGAGGAAGAGGAGATGGAGAAGGAGGAGGGAGGAGAAGGGGAGGAGGAGGAGGAGAAGAAGGTGGCGGAGGGAGGAGGATGAGGAGGAGGAGGAAGAGGAAGAGGAGCGAGGAGGAACAGAAGGAGGAGCAGCGAGGAGGATAAGGAGAAGGAGAATGAGGAGGAGGAGGAGGAGGAGAAGGAGGAGGAACGAGGTGCGAGAAGGAGGAGGAGGAGGAGGAGGAGGATCGATCTGGTTGCCCAGAGCGCGCCGCCGTGGGCCCAGTTGTGGCGATCGCTGGGCCGATACAACGCGACCCTCCTTGCCGTCTGGAGGGGCGGGGCCGTGTGCACGCCGACCCGCAGGCACGGCGGCGCGTGCGTTTGCCCGTTCGGTTGCGGGCACACCCAGGCTTCGGCTCGGCATTTCTACGCCGAGTGCCCGCGTTTTGCGGGACGTCGGCTCGATTTCGGGGAGAGGCCGCGGGTCGCGCCGACCTGGTGGGGAGCCCAGCCCCGCGTCACCGCGAAGACGGGGTTGATCACCAAGGTTTGCTGGGCGCTCGGCTCAGCGTCGGGCTCAGCTGCGGGTGAAAGCGTGCCGCCTGGGCATCGCCATCATGCAGACGCTCGCTGGCCTCGGCTGGTGGGCTTTCGGGCACGCGGTCCCCCCGCCTGGAGCCCACCAGGGCCCTCCCCCACTTTCCTGCCCTCTCCCTCCGGCGGGTGGCGGCGAGGCGGGCGGCGGGACGGGCAACGACTCTGGCGACCTCCTTCCCCCTCCTGGTGGTGGTGGCTGCGGTGCCGGTTGCTAAGGTCCGAACAAAGTCACCTGGTGTCCGGTCCTGTTCGCTGGCCTTCTCCGACTCCTCGTGGCGCCCCCTTCCGCTTAGCGCCCAGGCCGTTCTGGCCTCGAGGCGCAACTAGGCTTCGCAGGCGTTCCGCGCCTGATTTCGAGCTCCCAGGGCAAAGGCACCCTGCTGCTTTTCATTACTCAGAAGGAGGGGGGGAAGGAGAAAGAGGAGGAGGAGGAGGAAGAGGAGGGGAGAAGAGGAGAAGCGAGGAGGAGGAGGAGGAAGACGACCGAGGAGAACCGAAGAGGAGGAAAGCGAGGAGAAGCGAGGAGGAGGGGGAGGACGAGGAGAAGGAGGAGGAGGGAACGAAGGGGATGCGCAGGAGGAGGAGGAGGAGGAGGACGAGGAGGAGGAGGAGGTGGAGCAGGGGGACGAGGAGGAGGAGGAGAAGGAGAAGGAGGAGGAGGAGGAGGAGAAGGAGGAGGAGGAGGAGGAGAAGAAGAGGGGAAAGAAGAGAAGGAATATGGGGCGCACCAGCGATACCTTGCGCTCTGAAAATTCATGCGCTTTCCGTCCCCGTGCTGAGCAGGTGACGAAAAAAACGGAGTACGAGCGAGAGACGTTTCGTAGGGGGCGGAGCCCTTTTAGGGAGGGGGTCCGGGGGGGGGGGTGGCCGATGACCATGGATCTAATGGCCGCCGGGGGTCGTTTCATTCTTATTTGTTCGAGTGAAGCGGCTCCCGGGCGGTTCCCATGGCCTGTTTCTTCGTATTTGTTCTGGCGAACCAGCCAGAAGGCCCCAAAACGGCCCAAGACGGCGCCAAAACGGTATCAGAGGGCCCCAGGACGGCCCCAAGAGAGCTTCAGATGGCCGCCAGACGGTCCAAAAGACTCGAGACGGTTCCACAGGCCTTCAAGAGAGACCCTGGGGAGGACTTCAGGAGGCCAAAACCATTGATGTTCGTATAGCTTTGCAAGTTTTCTGGTTTTCCCTTTTTCAGCCCCAGAAGGGCACCAGACGGCCCAAGAGGCCCCACATATTCTCCCAAGCCGGACCCGGAGGCGATGCAGGTGGAGCAGGAGGCATTCACAACGAGTGGGCAGCGACCCCAATGCGTAGGTCGACAACCCCGCGCTGGAGCCGCTCGGGCCGCCTCACACAGCAGCCACCTTAGAGACCTGCGGCGGCGCCAACCAGAAAAAGATCCTCAAGCTCTCCGGGTGGTTAACGTGCGCGAGAAGGCCGGGGACACGGAGCGGCGCGCGCGCGCGTGTGCCGCCTTCAGATGACGGCGCCGGAGGACCAAATGGAGACCGTGTTGGCCGTGCAGACGGCGGGCGACAGGGGGCGCGCGCTGCTGGAGGGGCTGCGCCAAGCGGGAGGGCGACACCTCCGAGGATCGGCACCAGCGGGCTACATGGAGGAGGATTTGCAGGAGCGGACGGCTTGGATCGAGGCGAACCTGGCGGCGTAAGACTGGCAACATATGCTCACGGCCAGGATCGTAGCTGACTTGATGTGGACGTCATCAACCCTGGATGGCAGATCAATTTTGGCACATCGGTTATATTTCTGCCGTGGGTCTGGTACGCAGTTATATGTGTATATGTATACATACCCTTGCGGATGGGGTATTTCAGAGGATGGATTGGCAAGCTTCGACGACGACTCATGCTGATGTCATTGGCGTGGAACGGTTCGGTCATATGCTTGGTGTAGCTATCGTTGGTTATTTGTTGTATGTGTCTGGTATGTTGCCAGGCCTGCGACCACGGGCATGGAACCATAAACCACGATTGACGTTGTACCGCTTGCACAGTGCTGGAGATTCGGCGTGAGTGGTGGGCGAGCCTTGCTTTCGTTGCGTTGCGCCCTGTTCAGCTTGTGTTACTCCTCCCTCGCCTTGCGCGGGCTGCCCCGCGTTCCTTCCTTCCCCCGCTTCCCCCGCTCGTCCCTCGTTGTTTATTGACCCGGTGATTGCCAGGGTATGCGGCGGCGCACCTTGCAGATCGCATCTGTGTTCGGTGCCTTCCCTGCCCCCGCACTGAGCGCGCAGTGCTCAGCGGTGCACATCAGCTCCCGAAACGGGCAAAAGGCCCCCGTGCTGACCCTTGAAGTCCCCCTCCCCCGTGGGCCCCGATTCTCTGAAACAGAGTTTCATTACCACCACTGCTATTCACGATTCTCCACCACCACCACCACCATAACCACCTCCACCACCACAACCACGATCATCACCACCACCACCACCATCATCAACACCAGGGCCATCATCATCATCATAATCATCATCAGCATCATCATCACCATCACCATCACCATCACCATCACCATCACCATCACCATCCCGCCGCCTCCACTCCTCCGTTTCTTCCTCCTCCTGTTCGTCTTCCTCCCCCTCCTCGCCCGCATTGTACGTTCGCTCCTCCCCATGCTCTTCCTTCTCCTCTTCCTCCCACTCCTCCTCCTCCTCCTCCTCCTCCTACTGCTACCACTACGCTTACGACGGCGACGACGACGACGACAACGACTACTACTATTACTACGACTACGACTACGACTACGACTACTACTACTACTACTACTACTACTACTACTACTACTACTACTACTACTACTACTACTACTACTACTACTACTACTACTACTACTACTACTACTACTACTACTACTACTACTACTACTACTACTACTACTACTACTACTACTACTACTACTACTACTACTACTACTACTACTACTACTACTACTACTACTACTACTACTACTACTACTACTACTACTACTACTACTACTACTACTACTACTACTACTACTACTACTACTACTACTACTACTACTACTACTACTACTACTACTACTACTACTACTACTACTACTACTACTACTACTACTACTACTACTACTACTACTACTTACTACTACTACTACTACTACTACTACTACTACTACTACTACTACTACTACTACTACTACTACTACTACTACTACTACTACGGCTACGATTATTGACTACTACTACGGTTTGTATTTCGATCCGCCCCCCAACCCGCGCCATCCACCCATCCCCAGTCCTCCCCCCCCCACTTCGCCACTCCACTCCCCCCCTCCCGCACTCCTGGCTCCGCGCGCCACCGCCGAGGACTACCACGGCGAGGGAGCGGCCGAGAGGGAGCTGGAGGAGGACCCAGGCCTCTGCGCGCCAGGCCCCGCGCGCGCGGGGCGGCCCAGGCGGGCAGACATCTTCGGACAAAGTGGATGGGGGGGGGGGGCGAAGGAGAGGGTGGGGGAGCAGCAGCAGAAGGAGGAGGTCACGAGCCGCGATAGAGCAGCGCTATTGACAACCCTGATGCCCGCAGCAAAGAGGAGGAGGAGGAGGAGGAGGAGGAGGGGGCGGAGAAAGAGGAGGAGCAGCAGCAGCGACAGCAGGGATGAGGAGGATTTCGGGGAGGAAGTGGGGGAGGACATGGATGATAAAGGAGGCACTCGAGCAGTATGATACCTGTAGAAGTGCGAATGCGATGTTATGCAAAATTTGTATGCATGTACATGTATGTGCTTTTACATGTGCATGCAGCCGTAGATTTGAGCAGCGCACGTTTCCTCTAGTACGGTGTGCTGTTCGACCCGCTGGCAGCGTTGAGGGACATGTCAGCAGGTGGTTGTGCAGAAGCGTTGGCGGAGTGCGCAGGTGCGGCGGGAGGATGAGCAGCAGCAGGAGGAGCACCACCGCAGGCACGAGGACCAGAACGGGGACGAACAGGAGGAGCCACGGCGTGAGCTGGAGCGTGAAGAGGGGTGGGATCAGGAGCAGGAGTGAGAGAACGGGACCAGGAGCAGGAGTAAAGCAGTAGGGGGCGACATGCGAACCCTACCCCTACCCCCCACGATTTCTGAGGGGGAGGGTGGGGGTTCACTTCGGGAGCTCCCGAGCGAAGTGAACCCCACCCTCCCCCTCAGAAATCGTGGGGGGTAGGGGTAGGGTTCGCACGTGGCCCCCTACAGGAGCGAGAGCACGGGACAAGGAGCAGGAGTAACGCTGGCGTTCGAGTTGTGGCGAAAATCGACGAGGTGGACGAGCGCAACTCGGCATGCGCATCCAAACACCGCCGCGCGGAGGTCTGGCGAGAGCACGCTTCGGCCATCTCGCGCGCCGCCAGGCTTCCAATGGCCCTGGCGCAGGCAGGACTCAGGAGAAAAAGAAGCACACAGACACAATCAATCCTCGATTCCCCTGAAGATATGGAAAACTATGGGAGGTGTGTGTGGGGGGGGGGAAGACAAGAACCCAGAACATATACGAAAAGATGGGGAATCCTGGTATTTGCGTGTGTATATCTATTTGTGTGTCCCAGGGCCCCTTCAAGGACGTGCACCGCGCCAGGGCGGGAGCGCCGCTGCCAGGCGAGGTCTGCGCGGCGTGCTCGGCGAGCGCGGCCTGCTGCAGCCTCGCGCGCGCGGCCTCCTGGCAACCTGGGCGCTGCGCGGCGCGTCCTCCTCCTCCTCCTCCATCCTCCTCCTCCGCCTCCTCCTCCTCCTCCTCCTCCTCCTCCTCCTCCTCCTCCTCCTCCTCCTCGCGCCCCCCGCGGCGAGGCACTCTCCGCGGAGAGATCTGCGCGGCGCTCGCGCGCGGCCCCGCTGCCGACGGCCTGGCCAGAGGACGAGTGCGCGCCGCTCGCCGGCGGGAGCGCCGCTTTCGAAGAGCAGCAGAACACGGGAGGCTGGCTCCGAGGAGCGGTCGTACAGTCGGGGCCCTGACGAAGGAACCCTTTTCGTTGGGGAGGGGCTCCGCGTTCCTCAGTTGTTTCGCAGCTTGCCTAGGTTTTCGATGCGAGATCGAAGTTCGACTTATGGAAAATGGGGGCCTCGTTCCTTATTTGGGGTTCCCGAGGGTCAACGCCTCGGCTGTATCGAGGTCTGAGATCGAGGTGGGTTTGGGGAGGGTGACCGATTGTTCGCCGTGTCTGCTGGATGCTCTTCGTTCCGCGGAGGGTACCCTTGGATGTTCTGTGCCGTTTGGCCGGCGGCGGGTCCCGTGCTCTTGAAGGATGCGCTGTTGACCTAGGCTCGGCCGTACGAGCCTCATGTCGCTCCCTTCACGCGCAAGGGGTGACGCATCATGTTTCCGACACGCGCTTGTCAACGTCGACGGCAAAGCGTCAATGGTGAGAGGAAACATGTAGAGATTGTACTGTTTATGGCGGGTGCAATGGGAAGACCTGAATGATTGCTATCGGGGCGACGGCTAGGGAATTTGGATTCTGTGTCAACACGGGACAAGGATGGGAGGATCGGGAGGAGGAGGAGGAGGAGGAGACAGGCAAGGAGAATGCGGACGAGGAAGAGGCAAAGGTGGAACGGGGGCGGGAATTGATGTTGCGTGTGCACTGCACTTGGGTATCCCAGTCCGCCGCGACGTCGCCATTGTCAGCGCATCAACGCATCTTTGCCGTTCGCCTGCAGAGGCAGCCGCTGCAGATCGTTCTGTATCAGCTTCCTCGTCACGACGCTGCTTGCTGGACCGCCGCGGGGGGCGCAGCTCCAGCGCGCGGCAGTCAAGTCAGCCTGGAAGCCCCCGGGGACGATGGGGAATCGCAGGCTGGGGTGGGAGGGAGGAAGGAGGCAGAAGGGGGCAGAGAGAAGGGGGGAGGGAGGGAGGGGGGCAGGGACGAGGGGGGAAGGAAGAGGGGGAGGGAGGAAGGAGGAAGTGAGGGGGCTTGCGGTGCTCAACAATGTGTGTGATGTGGTACGCCTCGATGGCGAACCTTTGACTTCGTGTCCTTGCGCATGCCTGCGTATTCCTTTAAGTTCCAATATGTGCTTGTGTGCTGTCACTCGCATGTGCGACTACAGAGGCCTACGCATTTGTTCGCATTCACTTGTCACCTGATAGTCCGTCTTACAAACGACAGGAGCATTGGGAGTGGGAGTGGTTGCACATTCGCTGGAGACCGATACTTTGTTGCTTTACTTTTTGGAAATTGATGCGATCACACTTCAGCGTGTGTTGTGACATACTTCAACATGCATTGAGACAGTCACCCCTCCATCCACGTCACCAGCAGCCGTCAAGCTTTCGTTGTAAAGAAGCTGGCCCCAGCTCATGCTGCGATGTGTTAATTCATTCGCATCGATTGGTCTGTCGTGTACGTGCGGCTAGGCTCAGTCTAGGCTAGCGTAGCTTCGTCTTGCCTATCTTCGCCTAGCCCAGCCGCCTTGCCTCATTTGTCCGCGCGGAGCCCTGACCAATCCCAGCATAGTCAGGCTACCAGGGTAGCTGGTGAGGAAAGGTCAGCGCTGATGCCCGTGCGAGTGAGAAGGCGGAGGGGGAGGCGGAGAACGACAAGGAGGGGGCGTTTCTGAGTCCCTGCCTCGGCAAATTGGGCCAGCACGGGCCTGCCGCCGCTGCGCCCAGTGGGTCGCGCGAGCCCGCCAGGGGCGGCTCTGGCTTGTGGAGGTCTCCGGAGCTCTCTGCAGGGCACCGTGGGCTTCTGAGGTTTCCGGAGGCCTCCAGGTGCCTCCATGTATACGAAAATATGATGCTCTTGTTCGACCGAGTCGTCGCCCTCCCCGTGCTCGTCCTCCCTCCGTCCTTTTCCGCCTCCTCCTCCTCCTCCATCCTCCTTCTTTCAAGTCCTCCTCATTCTTCTCGTCCTCCTCCTCCTCGTCCTCCTCCTCGTCCTCCTGCTCCTCTCTCTCTCTCTCTCTTTTACAGCGGCATCGGCCGTTCCCGGCGCGCCCCGGCCCGCGGAGCCCGCGCCGCGCGCGGCGCAGTGCCCGGGGCCGAGGCGCGCCCGTTCCGAGGGAGGCGGGGGAGGCGCGCCCTTTCCGCGTAGCTTTATGTCGGGCGTGTCCCCCTACAGGGGGATGTTCGACGAAACATAAAGATATCCCAAACATCTACCAAGAAGGTCAAACATGCTCAAGACATAGTCCCCGGACTGTTTTTGAACCATGTTTGGATTGTTCTTGGGGTATGTTTTATTTTTCGTCGAAAATCCCCATGTAGGGGGACAGGCCCGACTTAAGCGTAGCTTCATCTCCAAAGTGCAACAACGCATTGTTTGGGGTCCACGCTGCCTGACAATTCGTAGGATTCTGGAGAGGTGGACCCAGCATAGGGGGTACACCACGGGCCATAGTTTGTCTCCTCTCTAGTTGTAGTACAGACTGTGTGACTCTTCGAGGGCCACCCAGCTCCATTATCAGCCATCCTGAGGCCCACAAAGGTTGAGAAGGAGGAGAGGAACTGCCGGGCCGCTCATAGAATCCGGTACAGCGCTAAAACGAAGTCGGCACAGTATCGTGTGTAGCGATGCGCTTGTATACCGTCCGTAACGCTGTAGGTCGGCATCTTCTCCAGCTTCAGGCAGGTCGGTCTTGCCCTTGTAGGCCCCTGCCGTATTATGCTCGACGCAATCTGGGCCAAAAGCGCATCGAATCAAGTTTCGTGCTGAAGCATGTCGAGGAAGACTTGGGCAGCCCCAGGCTGGCCCTCCGCGGGCGGATGCGACGTCGCACAGCCACTCGAACACGTAATCGTTTTACAGCGTGTTGTAATATTGGAAAGCTTGGGCCCGATCCTGGTACATCCTGCCAGGCCTTTGCTTTGAATACTTCCCGGAGGTCTCCAGGTTCTCTGTCTTGACGCGGAGTTGGATTGCTCCACTTCGGTATGCTTGTCGCTCGGCCTGTACGCCAAAAGGGCTCAAGACACCCTCTTAGCCGTTGAGGGCTGCCCTGATTTTCAGCCCCACGAGACGCACGCGGCTGCTCTCCCGTAGCTCAGCTTGTGGCTCTCGTAGCTCTACCTGTGGCCCTCGTAGCTCAGCAAGGGGGCCTCGTAGCTCAGCTCGTGGTCCTCGTAGGTCTAATGGTGGCTCTCGTAGCTCTGCCTGTGGTCCTCGTAGCTCAGCTTGAGGTCCTCGGAGGTCCGCTGGAGGCCCTGGTAGCTCTTCTGGTGGCTGTAGTAGCTGTGTCTGTGCTCCTCGAAAATGAGCCTACTGTCCTAGAAGGTCGGCAAGTGGCCCCTGTAGCTCTGACGGTGGCTGTAGTAGCTCTGCTTGCTGCCCGCGTGGCACAGCTGGTGCCTCCGGTAGCTCAGCTGGTGGTCTTCGTAGTTCTGCTTGTGGCCCTTGTAGCTTAGCTGGTGGCCCTCGTGGTTCAGCTGGTTCAGCTGGTGGTCCTCGTAGCACTGCGTGTGGCCTTCGTAGCTCCGTTTGTGGCCCTCATGGCTTAGATGGTGGCCCTCGTAGCCCTGCTTGTGGCACTCGCAGCTCAGCTTGCGGTCCTCGTGGCTCTACCTGTGGCTCTCGTAGCTCCGCTTGTGGTCCTCATAGCTCAGCTCGCAGTCCTCGTGGCTCTGCTGGAGTCTCTCGTTGTGGCCCTCGTGGCTCCGCAGGTGGCCCTTGTAATTAGCTGAGCTGGGATGGTGGCGCTCGGAGTTCTGCTTCTGGGCCTGACAGCTCGGCTCGTCACCCTAGTAGTCCTGCAGGAGGCTCTTGTAGTTATTCCTGTAGTCCGCGTAGCTCTGGTTGTGGCTCTGGTAACTCAGCAGGTGGCCCTTGTAGCTCTAGTTCAGCTGGTGGCCTTCGGGGCCCTGCCTCTGATGCTTGAAGCCCTGCCTGTGGCCCTGGTAGCTCAGCACGTGGTCCCAGTAGCTCAGCACGTGGTCCTCGTAGCTCAGCTCGTGGCTGTCCTTGCTCAGCAGGTGGTCCTTGCAGTTTAGCTCGTCGCCCTGGTAGCTCTGGGGGAGGCTTACGTAGTTATGCTTGCATCCCGCGTGGCCCAGGTAGTGGCCCTCGTAGCTGTGTCGGTGGCCCTCGTAATTCAGCAGGTGGGTCTCGGAGTTCTGTTTCTGGTCTTTGCCGTTCAGCTTGTCGCCTCTGTCTTCCGCGTAGCTCTGGCTGTGGCCCTGGAAGCTCAGCAGGTGGCCCTCGTAGCTCTCGTGACTCTGCCTGTGGTCCTCGTAGCACAGCTGGTGCCTCCGGTAGCGCAGCGCGTGGTCTTCATGGCTCAGTTGTCAGCTTGTAGTTCTTGTAGTCTTGCTTGGGGCTTTCGTGGCTCTGCTTGCGATCCTCGTTGCCAGCTTGTGGTTCTCGTGGCTCGGCAGGTGGCTCTCGCAGCACAGCAGGTGGGTCCTGTAGTACTTCTGGATGTGGCTCTTGTAGCTATGGTTGTGGCTCCTGTAGCTCAGCTTGTGGTCTTGTAGCAGAGCTTGTAGCTCTCGCGCTTCAGCTGGTGGCTCTCGTAGCCCTGCTTCTCTCGTAGCTCAGCTCGTCGTCCTCGTAGCTTAACTTGTGGCTCTCGTGGCTCTGCTGGCGGGTCTCGTAGCTCGGCATGTCAGACGTGAATCTCCTCAGTTGGCTCTCGTAGCTGTGCGTGTGGTCCTCGTGGTTCAGCTTGTGGTCCCCGAAGATCGTCTGGTGGCCCTGAAAGCTCTGCTGGTAGTTGTAGCAGTTCAGAGAGCACGCTCTCTTCGTAGTCCCTGGTGTCCGAGTCGGAGTCGTCGGCTGCCAAGTCGTAGCGTTCTACGTTCTGGGTGTCCCTGTAGTCCTGGCGGTTGTCGTAACCCTGCGGTCCGTCGTAGTCCTGGGGGTCGTAGGGGTACAGGTCGTTATCGAACACTGTCGTAGTAGGAGTACTCGTCGTAGGCGGCGCGGCGAGTCGCACTCGTAGGCGGCGCGGCCGTTGTCCACCGGTACCTTCACGACGACGTACTCAGTAATTCGTTCGGGTTGTTGGACGTCTCTTTCCTGGTGTCGCTCTTGGTGGCGTACTTGGTGTCGTGCTTGGGCTGCCTTTTACCATCCCGTCCTGTAGAGGACGCCATTATGACGGCGGTCTTAGCGATGACCATGATGTCGTTGAGGTGTGATTGTAGCCCGTGTAGGATGAAGTAGCCCGTTCTCTTGAGAGTTGCATGTGTTCAAACTTCCCTGTGCAGATATAGTCTCGGCAGGAGTCCTGTAGTAGCAACCGAGGTGGGTAATGGAGGATGACGATTAATAAATGACCGGGGGTCGTGTTCACGCGGCCGCGCCCGGGATGACGATTAGAAAAAACCGGCCGCGGGCTGGATAACTATCCTTTTTAACCGTTCTCCTCAAGTCAGAAAAGTGTGCAGACATAGCAGAAAACCATTTGTTTTAATCGTTCCCTCCCATTTTTTGTATTAGTCGTCATCCCGCATTAGTTCTCGTAGCCGGAAGTGCCGGTGTCCAGTTTCGGGGGAGCGTAAGACCCGGGTTTGCCAGGACTCGGGTTCGCCATCGTTTTTTGACGACCGCGCCTCGGATTTTGACGAGGAGGAGTTTCGTGGGATGTCTGCAGCGGGAGGCCTCGTCAAAATGCAGGCTCGGCCTCGTCATTTTTTTGACGACCTCGTCGGGGATTTCCGAGTCCCCGTACCCGGGTCTTACGTCTCCCCGCATTAGTTCTCGTGGCCGGAAGTGCCGGTGTCCAGTTTGCTGTTCGTCAGTTGGCAGATGCTCTTCCACTCGTACGCGCGCCGCCCATGGGGCGGCGCCTTCGGGCGCGGGTGGTCGGGGGGCGCCCCGCCCCCGCAGGGGCCAGAATGGCCCTTCTCCTGCTCCTCCTCCTCCTCCTCCTCCTCCTCCTCCTCCTCCTCCTCCTCCTCCTCTTCACCCTCCCTCCTCCACCCCTTATCCTCCCCCCCTCTCGCCCCCACGCCTGCTGGGAGGTCTCGAGGGGAGGAGGCAGGAGGCAGGGGTCGGCAGGCACCCTCGGCTTCGCGGCGGGCAGGCTCGTGTCGCAGAAGCAGTCGCAGAAGCAGGGAGCGCCGAGGGCGGGCCGCGCGACAGAGCTGGGGGGGCCCTTATTGGCAGGGGGCACCTCCCTGCAGGGCCCCGGCGGAGGCCCGTCCTCCCTCCTGCGCATCCTTTGTCCCTCCTCCCTCCTCCCCTTTCCACTCTCGCCTCCTGCTCCTCTTCCTGCTGCTTCTTCCCCTCCCCCCCGCCTCACGTTGCGCGGCCCTGCAGGCGGCCGAAGCCCGCAGCTGGGCATGGAGAGTCGTCAGGCGTCGAACCCTTCACAGCACTGATACTCCTCTTTCTCGTCCTCCTCCTCCTCTTCCTCCTCCTTCTCCTCCTCCTCCTCATCATCATCTGGAGTCTGGACACCGCCTGAGCCAGTAGCGAAGCGTAGGCCGCTAACTCACTCACAGGGCGAAGGTCGTCGCAAGGGTCGGACGTAAGCTCTGCGGCCGTGCCTGTGACTGCGTGTGGCGTTTCCCAGCCTGCTTCTGCCTCCTTCCATGTCCGCCGTGCGTCCTCCCCCCCCCTCTCTCAATGCATCCTTCTCCTCATGTGTGTGAGCTGGGAAGCGTGGCGTCTCACTCCTGGGACCCTGTGCCACTAGACATCCATGGGCGTGTTTCGTTTGTCCCCTCGACCCCAACGTGTTCCACGGCGTTGCCACGATTGGATGAGCAGTCGCGGGGGGGGGTGAAACCAGCTTGTTGAGGGAATTTCATTATGATGGCGCACGGTGGTCATAAAGCAGTTGCCATAGAATTGGAGAGAGACCATGAGCCTCATGAGTTGAGTACCGCATCCTCCTTCAGCTGCTTTTCCTCTTCCCTCCTCCCGCCCGGCCCCATCCTTCTGGCCTCATCCCTCCTCCATCTTCCTCCCTTCTCCGACTCCTTCCTCCTCCTGCTCCTCGTCCTTCTCCTCCGCCTCCTCTCCTTCTCCTGCTGCTCCTCCTCCTCCACCTGTTTCTCCTCCTCCTCCTCCGTCTCCTCATCCTCCATCCTCTTTCCCTCCCCTCCCTTCTCCTCCCTCCTGCTGCTCCCTTTTCCTCCCTCCTCCTCCCTCTTCCTTTCTGGCCATTCTGGGCCAAGGCACTAAATGAGCTGAATCGGCGTCGGAATCGTCTCGGACCAAGTCTGAGGGACAGCTGCTGGCTGGTGGCGCTGCCAGATTTTAGCTCAGCACCAATAAGCAAAGTTGGTTATTCGTTTTGTTATACGCAGAAACCTCGCCCCAGGGGGCCGTGGCCATCAGGTCAATGTGACCCTGCCGCCGCCAAAGAGTGCAAAGCCCGATCGGGCGCAGAGGAGGAGGTGCTGGCAGTCAAAGATCGCCCGACGCACCGCTCCAGAATTGAAGCTGCAGCAGCAAGTTGTCGACAAACTCTAGATGCCGCTGAGGGAAGTGAAAACCCTGACCAAGGACGCGACCTGCTAGGGCAATGCTGGTCGAGGCAGATCTCACATCAGAGAACGACAGCGTGATTCAGTTCCATCAGGAACAGGGCGCTGAGGCGAAGGCGCTCGTTCAAGCTATGCGGAAGGGCACAGAAGGAGGTGACAGTGCGGAGGCCGATGCGCCGATGATCCAGCATCGACGACGGCGGCGGCGACGACGCACTGCGACGCACCACGGACGGGACCCGGCTGGCGGAGGAGGGAGGAGGAGGGAGGTGGAGGGAGGAGAAGGGAGGAGAAGGGAGGAGGGGGGAGAAGCGAGGAGGGTCCGCAGCCGTTTTGGCTCAAGGCTAAAAGTTGTGAAGGAGTATAGACGTTCGAGAATCAGGGATTAGCTCTGGCATCCTCCTAGCTGGTGGCCCGAACCACCTTTGTGGCCGATAGGCGGCCACGGCGCGGCACGCGCCCATCCCATCTTTTCTGGTGTACTGCACGCTGATCGTACTTGTCAGCTTCCGTCTTCTGCAGTTGCGATGGAGGCTGCCTCCTCCGTCGCGGGCGCTGCAGGCGGGCGGAGGAAGAGGACTGGCCGCCAGCTGGGCAGGAACAGCTCTGATGAATCACCACAGCGCAAGATCCTTGCGAAAGACGACTGTGTCGAACGGTTCGGGAAGGTGGGGGGATTCGTCCAGGCACACCAGTCGCCGTCGAGGATGGCGTCCCTGGCACACCGGTGGGAGCGGGCAACGGACATGGTGGCCGCGCTGGGCTCACGCCCCGCGTCACTTCAGGTTCGAAGACTGAGGCGACGGCGAGAGCGTCTCCTGACCCATCGGGCAGGCTTCCTGGTCGTTACCGTGCCCCTGCTCCGCACGAGGGGGATGACAGCCAAGGCCTACTGCGACAGCACATCGACCAAACCCGCTCTGATGTCATGGATTGTATCAGCATAATACAGCAATCCATCTTGGCGGTCAGTGGCACCACGGCGGGGCATTTCGCGAGCATCGGCAAAGCGGCGGAGAAGCAGATGTGCAAGATCGAACACAAGGCGCAGGTGAACGACATTCGCATTGGCTGAGAAGGAGCTGCAGGAGCTCAGGGACCTTCTGGGCTTCATGCGGCAAGGAAAACCCGTGGACAAGCAGCAACCGGTTGTGGCCCGCGGCCAGAAGTGCTTCGCATTGAGGAATGTCAACCAGTCCATCAGCGCGCTCAGGCTGCCTGGCAGAGGTGCAGGCTGGAGGAGTATCACGGCGCCGTAGCCAATGCGCGGAGCGGAGGTGGAGTTGTCGGTCAGCAGTCCCGACAAGAGCCCGAATATGGTCGCGAGAGAGCGCGGCTGCAAGAAGATCGCGCGGGCCATCGCTGACCAGTACCCAAGCAAGGAGTATTTCGTGGATCGCGAGGGGGTGATCAGCTCGTCGTGGAAGGAGCTGGCGCCCTTCGAGCCGGCGCCTGGCCCAGAGGCGCACGCCGTCCACCTCGGCGACAAGAATGTTCAGAACCTCGGCATGGACTCCCAGAAGGTCAGGAAGATTGTCTCGGGCCTGTTTGCGAGGTCGGAGGCTACCGAGTGGTGCCGCTAGCAGACTCTCGACCGCGCGGCGAGGGTCATCGACGGCCAGGTCGAGCATTACCTTCACCAGGTAGAACTGCAGGGCTTTGCTACGCCATGATCTATCCCTCCGCGGCAAGAAGACCTCGCACCTCCGCCCCACCCCCCACCCCCCCACCCCCACCGCGATCCTGGGCTTCCGGGAAGCTTGTGGGACTCGCGGGGGCTGAGGATATGATGTGCCAGATCCGCAAGATGTTCCGCACATTTTATTGTTTTGCCCAGTGGTGCTGCGCAGTGCGCGAAGCACAGAGCGAGGGCGCCCGGGGGGCCTGCGGAGCGCGCGCGTCGTCGCGACCGGCACAGAACACGAGTGCAGGAGGGCTCCTCACACTCTTTCCTGTTTGAGGTGCTCAGGATAACCACGGCGTTCGGGAACAAGTTCGAGGCCGCGCGTGGAACGTCGCCCGCTGCCAGCTGTGCCAGGCGACGAATTCCGCCCCAATTTTGGCCCCCGCGAGCGGAGAGCTCGCCGGGGCCCGATCTTGCCACTTTCGTTTGCCAAGATGGTGGAAATCGAACAGCCTGGCCCGACGCGCTTCAGCTTAGCCAACCATTCGACTAACATCATCGACGGGATGGCGTCTGTCCCAGGGTGGGGCATCGTTCAGTTGAACGCCTTGGGTATCACCAAAGACCCCGTAGAAGATCTACATCATAGGTGCCTCTCGGACCGCGCGCCCGTCTCGGCGGGCCGTAGAAGCGCGCGCCCCTGGGGCCCCAGCCCAGGAGCGCCCCATCCCTCAGTGCTCCCAGGACCCTATGGAGGCCTATCTGGGAGTGGTGTCTTGGGATGGTTTGTCCCCGCCGCTGAAGGTAGACTCGTTATCTCACGAAGGAAGGAGCAAGGTTCGCACGGCGCGCCTTTCTGCATCACGAGCCGACGTCGAGGCTCGCTCGGATCATCCTGCACTGTTAGACCTCGGCGTTCGCGGCGGACGTCTGTCGCTTCTAGACCCTGATAGGTTTGCAGCGGACCTGGATAAACTGGAGCCGCCGGACCTCGAAGCGCAGCAAGCAGCGATCACTGCAGCAAACAATGGAGATTCCCCAACGAGGCTCCGTCGCAAACGTCGCAGGCAAGTCCGTCGCTTCCCAAAACGACATGCGACATGGGCCCCTTGCGACCGCCGTCTTCATTTGAAGGGCGTCCGTCGGGGAGAAGAAGCGGCTGCGACGCCCGCGGCCACGTCTGCCGCGATCTGCGGTCACTGGGGGGGGGGGCGCAGGAGTAATCCGAGGTCCTGATGGTCGGCATCTTGATAGATTCGAAGGGGGCATGGATTTCGCCGATGCCCCCCCCCCCCCCCAGAACAAACAAAAAAAACAGAGCTGGCATCCGCATGAGACTTGGGACCTTGGAGGACTACGCCCCTCGCCCCAATCGTCTGCCCTGCGCCGGGCGGCGATGTGCACCGCGGGCGGCTGAGCTGCTGGACGAGCATCTCCGGCGGGTAATGGGTGAGTATCTTTGGCGGGCAATGGATGGGAACTCCCCCATGGGCGTCTTCGTTCCGAAGGGGGGGGGGGGGGGGCGGGGGAGGGGCGGCGCTCTGCGCGACGCCCTGTCGCCCCGCTCGCTCGGCCTGGAGAATTCAGGGAACGGGATTCTCGCCGGCGTCGCGGCGAGGCCCTTCTCGGTCATCATGACCGCAGTCAGTTGCCAGCTGCAGCGAGGCTTCGCGATCGGGGGGCAATTCGGATCCAACGTCATCGAACTCGACGCCCATGCTCGCCTCGCTTCGGCGCTCGGCACAGCCGAGAACGACGCGGCCGTTTGCTCGCGCGGTTTTGCCCGAGCGCCCCCGTCTGCGGCGCATTCTTGGACGAAGAAAGTGTCGGCGAAATTATATTTCCCCGACCCCCTTTACTTTTCTTCCTGGTCCTCTACCAAAATGTCGAATGTCTCGGGGAGCCCGGCGGCGCCGCCGCGCGGCGCTTCTCGGTGTGGCCAGGGGTCGCCCAGGGGCGCCCTGACCCTCAAGGTGCGCAAATGGTTCGCCACCCCGAT